TGACTGAGACAAGCTCTTACAAATTTGAGTAACATGTTTTCTTTCCCTTCTCCTCTTGAGAAAGTTTCTCAGTACTGGTCAGCTGTTAGCAGTGGGCTTCAGTACTGCAGAACTAACCCTGCAGGTGGAAAAGAGGAGGAATTCTTTGAGTTCACTGTGCTTCTTTAACAGTAGCAAAGATAACAAATATTGTCTCGTGCTGTGGGACGTTGTCTGCAGAAACAGGGAAGTCCTTGTTCTATCCACTTTGAAATTGCAGAGAAAAATCAGGCTAGACATTTTTTTGCTGGCTGCACAATGTATTTGAGCCTGCAGTTATGTTAGTTTGTATTTGTCTTTTAGAGGATGTGGGTTGATGTAGTGATTAATTTTAAGGTATTACAATTGAGTTTCCAGTACACAAAGAAGAAAACATATGGGATCAGTAATTGTATGGGCATGTCTGGAGGCAAGTGTAGAAAGATGTTGACTGTTTGGTCACTTTGAATCAAGGAGTTAAAAAAATTACAACAGGCAAAAAAATCCCCAAAAATGGAAAAGCCCTCAGGGGTATCTAGAAACACAAGACTGCTCTTTTTCAGTAGACTGAAATCTTCAACATTGTGTGTCTGGATTCCATCTGGGAACCAAGAGAAGGCAGCCATGCCTTGCAATGGAGGGAGCAAAGAACTCGAGTATTTCCTTCTCTTTCCAGTATTATATACAAAGTTCACTGTATCACCAGTGATCCCTGGTAATAAGCTATGGACACAGTGAAAGCTAAGTGTCTCAGTGACCTGCAGCTAACTCTGTGGCTGTCTTGTATTCAAATTCTACAACATGCTTCTGCAGATTAGTGGCATGAAGAAAAGTAGAGGTCTTAGGCTTCTGATTATTCAACTGAAATAATACATTAACTACCAATGAAAAGAGTCATAGTAATTTTTAAAAATAAAATCCCCTCTCTGATCAACAACAGAACATTTGCTTTCATAATAAAGGTATGTGGCTTATGACTGAGGAAGTTGGCACTGGGACAGGAGGATTTTAGGGAATGCACTGCAGTTTGATCAATGGCAAAATGGTGAGAAACTGGTATGCTGGTTGCTCTTGTGCTCACTACAAATCCTTATCCTTTTAAGAACACCAGGTCTAGGAATGGAGTAACTCAACTGCAAGCAGAGGGGAAAGGTTAAAGGCATGGCAAAATAGATAAGGAAGAGAAGAATGCAATGTCTATCCTAATGATATTTTTCAACACAGACCAATTGTCACACCGTGGTGTTCCTGTGCTGCCATTAGAGCTAACTCAGCCTCTCTTTTCTGGTGAGGGATGCTGTGCTCTAACATGGTATAGATCATTGACAGTGCTGAAGCCTGTTGTTGCTGTTGAGTGGTGTGATACAAACCTAGCCAAGTACTCACCCCTTGTATGAGCAGCATCCAGCTCAGAGAGATGCCCCTAATGTCAGGTGCATGTGTGGGTTTGGGGGTGTCTTTTTGTAAAGTTCTGCTGACAGCCTTGATTCTTTACTGTAGAGAAATGGCTGGATGCAGGAAGGATTAACCAAGTTAGTTTCTATGGAAACTCAGACATTTTTGTATTCAAGAGCTCGTGGCTGTCAGTTACATCACTACAAAGAGGTGTTTTACGCAGATAGTGATATTTTCTTGTGCATCAGCTGTGCCCAAAATAAACTCAAGCTCACTGGTGTCGGGTATCCAAATCTGTTTAGCTTACTGCCATATGGACAGGTGGCTCGAGCTTGGTGGGGGTCCCTTGCTTTCTTAGAAGTGTGGAATAATTTAGACTGGAAAGAAACTTGGGAGGTCTCTAGTCCAATCTGTGCTCAAAGCAGGGAAACCTTCAAAATCAGGTCAGGATGTGGAGAGCCTTGTCTAGTCAAGTGCAAAATCTCCATCCTTGTCAGAAAACTCAATTGTTTAACCACCACATTAATTTTCTTCTTTAGCTGTGTGAATTTTTTCCCAGCAATTTGTGACACTTGCCTCTCATCCCTGGCATGCTGTACCACAAAGGAGAGTTTGGCTCTACATTGTCCTGTGCCCATTAGGTAGCTTAAAAAATGTCAGCTGGCTCTGCCCTTATTCTTTTTGCCCTGTGCTGAGCAAAATCCAGTGTTCTTGTCTTGCAGGTGCTTGTACCTTCTTTAAGTTATGGCTTTTCCACTGAATTCCCAGCTTTTTCTTTCAGTAGAGAGCTCAAAACTGGCCACAGTATTCCAATTTTTTTGGATTATGAGTGCTTAACAGAGTGGGAAATAATAATTTCACATGACCTACTGACTGTACTCTTGCTAACACAGCCCAGTATGAAGCTGGACCCCACTGAAGAAATCACATTCAACTAGCTGCTCATCAGGACCCCCAGGATCCCTTCTTCCAAAGCTGCCTTGCAGCCAGGCTTGTCTCCCACCTGCTGTGATATCTGGAGTTACTCCCACCCAGCAGGACTTTGCTTTTGCTGTTAAAAATTATGTAGTTCCTCTTGATCTCCTCTTGCAGGCCATATCCATCAGAGCCTTTCCCTGACACCGAGCAACCAGTGTGGTGTGTTGGTTGGGATCCAAACACATTAGGCCCTTAAAAGTCTTAATGCATTGGAGGAATCTGAAAATCTGTGCCCTAAGGCTGCCCACACCTTCATCTCTCCCTAGGGAGTAACGAGGATTAGGATTTAAAGCAGGCTTCAGCTGCAAGGCTGGCAAGACAAGCTGCAGGAGCAAAGTGTGAGTTCTGCTGGGCCCTGGGGGCTGCAGATCTGCAGGCAGGACCTGGCTGAGCAGCACAACTTTAACAGGCACAGAACACTCAAACACACAGCAGCTCAGTCAGGGAGTGTGCAGGAAGGGAGGCAACTGGGTGCCTGCCAAAATAGTTGGGAAAACAAATGTGATGCCACAAACAATGTAAAATGAAAAGCAAAACTATTGTTCATTCTAACTGGAGTGCAAATAGCAGAATAATTCACCAACTGTGTGATAATTTGTAATGGGCACTTGCTACATAGAAGCCAATTGAGTTCGTGTTATGTGTAGATAAGACTTAAGCCAGTTTCATGTTTTTTCAAGGAAAAGGGAAGGCAGAAGCTTTTATCAGTAATTATTCTTTCAGAATCCTTCTATGCATTCACAACTGTGCAAAAATAAGTATTCCAAAATATTCCATTTTAGGAACCTTCTACAGATACAAGAAACAACCCAAACAACTCCTTTTGACCGACGTCCCCACAAAAAGAAAGAAAGGAGGATATCTGGTATCACATCACATCTCAGCATTATTTTTCAGCACCCAAATGATGATGTGCTTTTGTCTGGTTTGTACACACAGTCCTCCCTTACATCACTAACGGAAATAAGCAGAACCACACTCAGAATTGACTTTCTGAGCCATTTTCATTTTCTAGCATTAGTAGTATACTTGAAGAGTGGGAGGAAACCAAAAGGTGTGGCTTGGGAAACAGCTTCTGCAAATGATGCTGTCTCACAAATGCTGGCATTCGTTCCTTTCAGCAAACACCTGGGGGATTTTGATTCCCCCCTCCCCCAAAACTCATTGCAAGTTATTTCTAAGACATATCCAGAATAAAGCACCTCATTTAAAATGTATATGACAACACCACCATGGAGTATATCTATACTTAAATAAATGGATATTTTAAAATATTTTTTCCTCCCGTAAATAGTAGTATAACCTAAAGAATATGAGCTTTCTAATTTGAGTGTTTTACCTTATCTGTAGCAGATTTGCAACTTACCCACATTCATAGAACTGCAATGTTTTCTTTGTGTAATTTTTGTGTAATTTATAAATTAGCCAATATGCTCAAAGAATTTTGGGAAACTCAGGTAGCTGCCAAGACTTCAACCTGATTTACTGAATTGCTTAAATCATGGCTTTTTAAGTATTCTAAAAAACAAGGAGGAAAAAAATTGGAAGGTAATTATTTCTACGCCAAACACAACACATAAATGACCTGGAAGAGAGCAAGGGCCTCTTCCAGCACTTTCCAGCTCCAGTTTCTCATGAACATGACTTTTTTCATATTATTCACCACATTAATTTTGTCCTGGCAGGGGTCTGTGGGGTTCTGACCCACGGCTTAGACATTTGTCAGCAGTGACAGAATGAGCGGTGTTCCCTGCGGGGGAAGGTGACCTGGAACGGCACACGGCTCCCTGAGGCAGCCTGGCTCCAGACCAGCCCTGACAAGAGGTGACAGGCAGGCCAGGCAGGGTTACGGTTTGACTTTCTGTATTTCTGTACCTGGCATCGCCCTCGCAGCGCTGACAGCCGCCGTGCTCGCCCCTCGGCCGGGGCAGCCCTGCACAGGGCCGGCCTCCCCCTGCCGGCCGCCCCCAGCGCTTCTGCCGCGGCCGGAGTGGGGCTGGGGCTGCCCGGCCCGGGCGGGTCGTGCCCCCGGCAGACGCTGCCGCGGCAGCTCCCTCCCGTGAGCCCCGGTGCCCGCGGGCAGCCCTGCGGGGGCCGCGGCCTCGGCGGGGGTCGGGCCGGGACACGCTCCCCCGCGGGCCCCAGAGCCCCCCCGGACAACGGCAGAGCCGGTGCCGGCAGGGGAGCGCCGGGCGGCCCGGCCAGGGCCCGCGCTCCCTCGCCCCCGCCGCAGCACCTACCGAGAGCGGCGGCGGCGCCTCCGCCTTCATGTGCGACCCGGAACCCACCGGGCGAGGGAGGGGCGGCGGCGGCCGGAACCGGGGCGGGCGGCGTGGGCGGCCCCAGCACCGTCCGGGCAGGTGCCGGGGCTGTGCCCGGTGAGCGCCGGGCCGGTCACCGCCGCGGGGAACCCGGGGCTGCCGTGGCCGCGACCCTTGGGGCCAGCGCGGGGCGTGCCCGGGCCGCCACCGACGTGTAGCACTCCTAGGCCGGACTACACTTCCCAGAGAGCCTCACACCGAACAGGCAGATCCCGCGAGAGTTGGCGGCGCTCTCTCCGGGACTCCATTTCCCGCGATCCCTCGCGCGCCGGAAGCGGCGGCGCGGCCGTTCCGCGGCGGAGGCCCAGGGCAGCGGCGGCGGGACGCGCTCCCGGTGGCCGCCATGGACGTGACCGGACCCGAGACTGACTGGCGCAGCACCAACTTCCGCCAGAAGCTCGTCAGCCAGATGTGAGTGAGAGCCGCGGGCTCGGTGCTGGGTAGGCCGCGCGCGGGCCTCGGCTGCCGCCGCCCCCGGGGCCGCCGGCGGGGCCGTGTCCCGCCCGTGTCCGCCGCTCCGCAGGGCTTTCCGGGCCTGCCCCGGCCGGCTGGGTTCGTGCCCGGTCCGGTGTTTCCTCTCCTAAGGGGCGCCTCTGGTGAGGCGGCCTCGTTGCCAGGATTTGCCCAGACCCTGTCGGGGTAACCGGGACTGGTCTCTGACTTGATTTTTCCGATCCTCCTTCTCTTTCACTTTCCTTTTCTCCAGCAGTGTTGCTTTCCTGCCCTGCTTGACACCGTCTGGTGTAGGGCTGTGATTTTGCCAGTGTCCATGATATTGTGAAATTTGGCATATTCAGCCCTATGAAAATCACTGTTGTGGGCTTGTCTGACTTTTGGGGGCAAACATGAAATAAAAATGATGGTGGTTCAATGTGAAGTTCAGCTTGTTGCCTTTTCGGTTTTCCTGTGTGAAACAATTGCTTTCCTTGAATTACTTTGCTGGCTTCTTCTGTTTATGGAAGGCTCTTCTACCCCATGGAAGGTGGTGAGCACAGAAGTGGAAGCACTGTTCATTCTTTCTGAAGTAATGTTGGAGTGCTAATTCATGTATTTTGGAAAGCTTGATATTCCCTTGTTGATTTTAACAATTAATACTTAAAACTGGGCTGGTTTTTTATGACATATGAGTAGTGTGACCGTCTGTGTGTTCCCACAGTCAGGGTGCTGTTCCAGAATGAAACTGTTGCAGTATTCATTGAAGCAGTAGGATGGCGTTTGTCTGTCACAGCCAGACAGACTTCCTTGGTGCTCACAACGGATGTTTCACTTTCTAAACTTTCAGTGAAGTCATTCATCTTGTTAGATTAATCCCTTACTTCCTCTCCTGTTCTGCTGCTTTGTCAGAACAAGCAAACAGAAGTGCCCTTGGCTGCTGTGCTGCTTTGAGGGAATAAACGTGGGTAAGCACACGCAAACCTGGCACAATCAAACTTGGAGTTTGTATTTGTCCTGCAAACTGTAATGTGTTTTCTCTAAGCAGCAAACAATGCTCAAAAATGTTTCAGTGTAAGTGTACAACAAGGGATTAAAAAATTACTGCTACTGACCAGAAAATCTCTGAGGTTAACGCCAAATGAAGAGATGACAGTAATCCTAAACTTTTAATGCATGCCCTCTATTTATTTTCTTTTCTACAAGTGCACAGATGTCTCTGTACAATTTGTGTGCTTTTTTTTCAGGTGTAGTGAGAGCCTTTTTGTCACTTCCAGTTTTACAGGATGGAGCAGATATTTGTATTCATGGCCTTGTTTAAAAAGCAAGCAAAACTGTTCCTGGGATGAGTGGCTGCAGTGACTGCAGCAGACTTTTTTTAGCAATTATTGTGTGTTAGATAGCCAAAGACAGCCTGGCCTGGCTCCTTGTGGCACTTGGGATAAGATGAAGCTAGCCAGAAGCAGAGTTTGTTGAATGAGAAATAAAAGCAATATACTTGCCAGAAAAACTGGAGCTCTCTATGCAGCAAGTTCCTATTTCTTTCCAGAAGCTCCCAGCTTTGTCATTAGAGGCTGGTGTAGTAGATGGAAGAGGGAGGTAATTAAATATCTGGTGAATCACCTGGAAGTTTTTGTAGTCTGTGGGAAGGTTGTTCTGAGCAGTTAGGGAAATACAATCTTAGAAGTGTGTACATCTTCCAGTTCATCCTGCAGGAGGTGATACGTGTCAAGGTAAGTGTTAACACTTGGTCTTGGACATGAAAAGCATGAAACCAGTCACATAACTCATTTTGAGTTTTGAGCCAGCCTCTGTAGAGCTGCTGGATACAGGTGTCTCAGTTTGTTACAGTTACACACTTGGGTTTTCATTACGGCACTGAATTCAAGTTTTCTGGGCTCTGGCTTTGTTTTTCAGGAGTGATGTGTGAGTGACCATGTCAGTGTGGGCAGGGGGTATCCTGAGGAATCCCTCCGTGCTCCATGTGCATGATTTGGTTGTGGACATTTGGGAGAATGGTTTTTTCATGTCCTGAGTCCAGTGCCAGGTGCTGTGGACCTGCAGGGCTAAGCAGAACTTCCACACTGGAGCAAGACTGAGGAAGCCTGAGCTCCAGTGGCTGAGGCTGAGGGGCAGGTTTGGCTTCTCCCAGGGTGTTCCAGGAGTCAGCAGGGATGGAGGAGTGTGGATAAATACTTTTGCTTGCAGGGCACCGCTTTATTCTGGCCCTTACATAGCTTCAGTACATTCTCCCTTCTAAAGGCCTTTCCTTAAACTGTTCTTAGATGTTGGTATTGCCTGAAGGACAGGTCTGATCTGGGCTGTGAACTCAGTCTGTGGCTGTGTCTGGTTCCTGCCCTGAGCTGCTTGGAGGCTGTGTGAGCAGGGAATTGTGCTCTGATGTAACTCAGCCGCTGGGATGGTCCCTGACTTTGGGAGGTGCTGGCCCTGGATCTCCTTGTCCTGTTTCACTGCAACAACTGATTCACACAGTCATGGTGTGCACTGGCTGGGGAGGGAGCTGGGGCAGTTTGGAAGGAGAACATGTTCTGCAAGATTTTTCTGTTAGACCAGCTAGCCTGAGTGAGAGGTTGCACATATTTGGGCTGGAAAGAAGCTTCTTGAGAGTGGAGGGGGAATTCCTGAAGCTGGTGTTGGTGCTGAAGGCTGCATCTTGTGAAACCACAGCTCTGAGTGTTCTGCATGAAATCAGAAAAGCAGATTTTTACTGCACATCTACACATTTACTAATGCTGCATTTCCCTAGTGCTTACAAAGCAGATGGAGGTTGAGTTGGTTGGTACCATCTAGTTCCCAAAGTTCTGTAGAGTTGGGAGTTCTGCAAGGAATGTGCTCTGTGCTAAAGCTATGACTCTTTTAGCTGGCTTCCTTGGTCTTTTAAGGTAACTATTTTTATGTTTATTGCAGTTAAATATGTGAACAAGGAGCAAGTTGTGTGTTTTTGTTTCTTCCCAGTCTAAACCTTTACTGGAATGCTAACAGATAGGACATAGAAAGCTCAGTGACATTTTCAGTAATGCAGATGCAGTCACAATAATACATCTTCCATGTTCTATAATGTCAAGAGGAAATGATTCATATAAAAGCAGATAATTTCTTTGCTGTGGATTTTTTTCCAGGTTCCTGATACCATATTGATCACTGTCTCTATCACATCCCCTAAGTGCTACTTACATGTTACTTTCTTTACTTGCCTCTGTGCAATCTTTGTCTTCTCTTTTTGTCTGCTCACTTTTCAGTGCTCTCAACATGAAAGTCATTGTCATGGTACTGGGACTGGAAAGTCAAGGAGGATTCAGAGGAGTGTAGATTTAGAGGCAGCTTTTCCAAAAGAAAAGTGTGAAAAAAAGGACTGATTAATAGAGAATTGGATATAACTTCTTCCTCCACAGCAGAGCTCCTTTATGAGCAGTTCACTTCAAGGCTTGTTTGCCCGTGGGGGAATAGTTACTCTGCATTACGTTCAGATTCTGCTGCAGTTTAAGAAAGCTTCATATATTAGCAGCATTGTTTTGGTGGCTGCCAGACCCCACAAACAGGTTCCCACAAGAGCCTTGCAGCAGGTACAGTGTTCCACTGTGTTCTGTGTGCTGGTTTGCAGGTAAGGGTGTGAGGTGTGGCAGCCTAAGCTCCTGCATTTTAAGGCTGTAGCATCTGCTTTTCTCCTCTGAGACTGTCACTGAGTTAATTCAGAAAGCTGAACCCATTTTCTTCTTGTGCAAGCACCATTCCTGCTGCATGGGAGGTCGTAGAAGTTCAGAGGAAATAAAACAGTTGTGTCTCTTCAGAGTGGCTGAAACGCCCAGGGGTCACTGCCCTGAGGTGCACTTAGTGCAGGGTAGCTGCTCATGCAAGGCAGTCACCAAGAAATAACTTTCTGATATGTTAATCACGAAGTGAAAGTATTTAAGTATTTCCTGATCACTTGTTTGTGGAATTTAGACTGTAACTGCCAGGCTGCTTTAGAGAAGAACAGGTTTTGCAGGGAAGTTTCTGAGAATGACAGTGCCTAGAGGATTGGAACAGGGCTTCACCTTGCTGAACTCTTGTTTTAGGATTTTTTGTCTTTCTTTGCATGTTCCATAGTTGAACTGGTTGTGCTCTTTGATGTCCTGAGAATGCCCCTTCTTTTCCACTCATGTCCCCTCCCACCCTGCCCATGCTGCACCTCTGCCCTCCTCTGTCCCTAAGCCATGCTCCCACTCCTTGTCCTCACCTCACTCACTGGTTAAGCCTCTGTGCCTTTAGACAGCGTTTTTTGTTTTATTCCTCCACCTTCTGTTTAGAGAATTCTTTTGGAAAATCCTGTTGCTAGGAAGCTCAATCTCATTGTTTGCCAAACATGGATTACATTAATCCTGTCATTCAGTTTTGCTCAAGTAAACAAGACCTGGTATTTAGTCAAAATATTGCATCAGGCAGTAAAATAATGACTTGTTTAGCAGTTGGTCTTGAATTTCTGCAAAAGAATATTTGTGTTGCCTTTTAGAAGTTAGTTGGTGTTTTTGCATTTTTCTACATTATTTGCATTATTTGTTTGAAGAAACTTTATAGGGTGGCAGTTTTAAGTAATATGTGGTGGTGATTTGGTTTGTGGTGGTTTTTTTTTGTGGTGTTTGTTGGTTTTTTGTGGTATTTTTTTTTTGGGGGGGGGTGGATATTCGGGTTTTTTGTTTGTTTTTAATCCGTAAATGAGAGAGAGGTAAAAAGCTGTTTCACTGACCTTTCTAACTACAGGAAGTATTTCTTGTACATTAATTGAGGGTATTTGTAATAGCCTCAATTAAAATCCAGCCTTGTTTTTTTCCTCTTTTTTTTTTTTTTTTTTTCAGTGATGAAGCCATGAGGAAAGCTGGTGTTGCCCATAACAAATCTAGCAAAGATATGGAGAGCCACGTGTTTATGAAGGCCAAAACAAGGGTAAATCTCTATTTGCTTACAGAAGCTATTTGGTGTCAAATGAAATCTGTAACAAACTGCAGAAATAGCAAAGCCAATGCACTTAACAATACAGAGTTATGTGAAATTTTGTTTTATATGTGCTGCTTCTTTTCACTTACCTTGAGGGGAAGTGAGGAGTTCTGCATCCAACAGATGCACCAGACTGGCCTTAGTGCAGAACAGCTTTGCTGGTGCTGCAGTGTTTCATGCATGTGTGGAACCACACTTTTCTTACCTGAATGTTTGTTTGTAGTGAATTGCATGGAATTTCCTTTATCTACAGTGTAGCACCACTCCAGTTTGGTGGTCAGAAAAACCTAGGATATCAATGGAAAGGCCCTGTCAAGAGTAACCCCAAGGGAAGAGCCGTGGTCTCTGTGCAAGTCTGGCTGTAATGTACAATCCTGCACTCTTACCAAATCATAAACTTCTTCCCTGGAGCTGTGTCATGAGAAATTGGATAGTGTTGCTGTCTCCAAATGAGCCATGTTTGAAATGGAACATGTCTTGGTGAAAATGTTACGGTGCTGATGCCACAAATCTGCACCCACAGCTGGCATCCTCCCTGGTGGGTTGTTTCATGGGCATCAAGGCTTGTCTCAGCCTCTGCAACTTCCTACAAATGATGAGGCACACTTAAGAAAATATTTCAAATAGTATTTGTCTTTTCACTTCTGACATTCCTGTCATGTCAGTTTTCCAAGTTATTAATTTACTTGTATTTGTAATATGAATTTAGCTTTGAAAAGAGTTACTGTAGTACAAATGTGACATAATTCAAGGACTTAAATAATTCAGTGTGCAAAGTAAGCAGGTTCTGTCCTTACAAAAAAGGAATTATAGTGGATAAGAAGTTGAAAATATATGCTGGTTTATAAAGTTTGCATATTGTGGTTCTGTTAGTGTGGCTGTCAGGGAGGTTCTTTCCTGTGAATTTTGTGGTTTCTTGGTCTTCTTTTACCATCAACCACAATGACGTGTTAGTGAAAATATTCCTAGTTCATAAACAGATTGTTCTTGGAAGTGAACTGCTCTGAAAAGCCCACACACATTGTAGAGTAAAATCCAGTATGTTGAGGAAGAATAGTGAAGAACCAGAAAGTAATGGCCAATCTGTTTTCATTTCTCATGCTAAAACACTGATTTTTCACCTCTAGGAGGAGTATCTTTCTCTTGTGGCCAGGCTCATTATCCATTTCCGAGATATTCGTAAGTAATTTTTTAGTTTTGGTTTTATTTTCTTCTCAATTGTGGTTTCTCATTGAATCATCATAAAAGAAAAAAAAAAAAAAGAAAATTTTAGGGCTTCTGTGTGTGATTCTGCATGTGATTCTTAAAAAGTTGCTTTAAAAATCTTCCTGTAGTATGCATGCCCAGTTTATAAATACTGTTTCTTTTACACATCATCTGTAATTGAAAAGTATTTGAGAAATTATTTAAACTTGCTACTTTTCCTCCTTCCGAATTTTTTCTGTATCTTTGCTTTCCTTCCATTTTTTATATAGCATTCTGATTACCAAATTGGCTTAGGTTAATGTATTTTATTAGAGCTACAGTAGATAGTGGGTTTTAAAAATTTATTTTAAAAATTATGTAGAGAGTATATCCAGAAGGTCAATGTGACAATATTAACAAGAATGATTAATCATTTTTTCTTCGCAGACAATAAGAAATCTCAAGCCTCAGTCAGTGGTAAGAGTTCCTTTGTTGTTGTTATTTTATTCCTTCCCTCTACTCTCCATTTCTAAATAGAACAGCTTAGACATCAGGGCTGTGGTTACTGAGAATAAAGCATCTGTGTATTCCCTAGCTGGGATATTAAATGCTGCTGGAGTGAAGGAAGGGGAGCATGACAGTCTTGGAGTTGTTCAGTGATGAGGGTGAGAGGCTTGTTTGTGCCCCTGGTGGTACTTCTGTTAGCTCACAGCAGCAAGGTTCATGAAAGCACCAGAGTGACCGAAAATAATCTCCTTCTGAGCAGCCCAGGTTCCTGCCTGTTGCCAGCTGTGGCTCCCCAGGTGTTGCACCAGAGGCAAAAATATTTGTGGGGCCATTTGGTGAGCTTAGATCTGGTCCTGGCTTCTGCCTCTGTGCTCATTCTCACTGCAGTGGATGTTAGGGACATAGTATATAGTGCTGTGGTTTTACCCCTCTGTAGGGCAGATATGCAGTCTGTGGTTGATGAATATTCAGTCTGGCCTGCTGGAAATTATTTTACAAGTATTCTTAAGAAAGAGGTGGTATGTGTTCTGTACCTGGTTCATATTGCTTCTGCACCCTGTGTTGTGTTTTGACCTCTTGAATTGTCTTTCTCCCTTTAACTTCACTTTTCTGTGTGCCCAGGATTCAGATTATGAAAGCTGTCTTGAAAGGCATTGAATTTGTTCAATGCATAATAACAGTGATGTTAGAGGGGGAACTGTTGTCATATTAATGCAAAAGTTCCACACTGTTGTCTCCTTACCACGACAGTTTCATACCTTCTTGGTGTTTCTTCATGGGCAGAGCACTGACTCTTTCTTCTTCACAGTAGCCAACTGACTCCAGTCCCCTCTCAACCAGCCAACCCACTCCTTTATAGCACTCTTCTTGTTATTTGTCACAGCAATGGCCTGTTAAAGTCAGGCCTGCTCCTAATCTTTGATAATTGGCCCTCTTGGGGCAAATTATCTCACTCTCTTAGGGGTGAGATTACTTTCTGCACTATCTTTATTTTCTCATATTCTATCCCCCCACAGAACTGTATAGCAAAGTACATCCTCTGACAGAGCATTGCTTCTGTGACTTGAGGAGGAAGATCCACAGTGAGACTCTCTTGGTTTTTGAAGTTAAAAGCTTTATATCCTCATGGAGTTTTGTTGGCAGCTTGTTTTGACTTCTGTATCAAGTTGGAGATGACTAATATGTCCTTTTCTCTGATGTATTTAAAATCTGTGTGGAACTTCACAACACTGGAGCACTTTAAATCTTCTCTCACTCTTTACAGAGAGGCAGAGATGTGCCAGAAGCCTCACAGGCAGGGCAGTGCATCTGAGTTTGTCAGGGTATTGGTCTGAAGTTGTCAGATCAGAGAGTAGATGATGGAGAGCAGGGGATTCTGGAGAAGCAGTGGCATGGCTGGCTGCATATCAGTGTCTGTTTCCTTTGCAGATCCGATGAATGCCCTGCAGAATCTCACTGGGGGTCCCGCAGCAGGGGCGCCTGGCATGGGCATGGCTTCCCGAGCTCAGGGGGCACCAATGAGTGGCATGACAGGCCTTGGTCCAATGGCACAGCAGATGAGTCTCCCAGGGCAGCAGCAGCCTCCTGGAACCTCAGGAATGGCCCCTCATGGGATGCCTGGTGTCTCTACAGCTACTCAGCAGAGTAAGTGTTCAGTTTGCTTCAGCCACTGAAGTTGCTAGATCAGCTTTGCAGCAATAAGGCCTTTCCCCAGGGAAAGGGTGCTGAAGAGATGTCATACTTCTGGCTAAATCAGCCAAGTGAACTGGGAAATAATTGATTTCAAATACTGCTACCTAATTGGATGAATGTCTTTCTTAGTATAGGCAACACAGTGTAGCTGTTACATGAGCAAGTTCTTTCATCATGTCAACTTCAGAACATTGTTTTTGTACAGCTCACCCAGGTTTTCCATGGTATGGTGCTTCCTGCTGGTGACCTTGGTGCACATTTCTTCCTGCACATTTTCAGTCTCTTTACTTACTCTCAATGAAGGGAGAGTGAATTACAAGTTAGTAGTACAAACTGTAATTAATTCTGCTGTTAATGTGCCCCATCTGTTTGAGGAAGCAAAAGTATATACTGCTAAGGAAGGACATTATTTGATCTCACACTATTTGGGTATTGTGTTTTAAGTACAGTCTGTCTTCTCTTCAGCCCAGCTTCAGCTTCAGCAAATAGCTCAGCAGCAACAGCAGCAGCAGCAGCAATTCCAGCAGCAGCAGGTGGCCCTGCAGCAGCAGCAGCAGTTCCAGGCCCAGCAGTCAGCCATGCAGCAGCAGTTCCAGGTGCAGCAGCAGCAGGCGGCGGCCGCTGCGGTGGCGCAGCAGCAGCAGCAACAGCAGCAGCAGTTGCAGGCTGTCCAGCAGCAGCAGCAGCACATGCTGAAACTGCAGATGCAGCAGCAGCAAAACCAACAGCAGGTGATGACAAAAGCTACAATGGCAAATGTGGTGATCGGTGTGCTGGTTTGAGAACAAAGCAGTGGGAGATCCCAAGTCAGAAGTACAATTTAATAGGAAAATTAAAATAAAACGCAGTAGTACAAAACCACTGACAGAGTCAGAACACAATTTTACACCCTGTGGGTCAGGGTGGTGGCAGTCCCCCTAGAGAGAGGATGGGTTGTGGAAGAGATAAAGAGCACTACCCCACCTGGTTTTAACAGGGGGCAATAGAATACAAACATTTGGTTACATCTTGCACTGTAACCTTAGACAATGAGTTACTTGTCAGGTGAGGCTTGGCTTGTGTGGAAGTATCAGCTCTGCCTGTTACTAACACATTTCCACTTTAGGGTAGGGCCTCAGGTTAGATTGGCAAGTTAATTGACAGCAGCATATTACATGCTAGAGGAAAGGTTCTACAGATGTTTTGTTGCTTTCTTTTGTCATATCAATAAGGAATTAAATTTTTTGTCTCTTTCTTTTTATAAATGTCAAGATAGCCTTTCATTCTGACAGAAATTGGAAAAGAATAGCCCTTGAATCATTCTGACACAAATTAGGAAAGAACAGCCCTTGAATTACTCTAGCAGTAGTGGCTGTTTTGTCAGTGTTTGACTAATGTGTTGCCACTTTAAAAATGTGTATATATATATATACACAAGTGTATATGTATATATATATATATATATATGTTTATATCATCCTTAGGTACAAAAGCAGGGGAGGAAACTTCAGCTGTCATATTCTTGTGCAGTCTTCAGTAAGGGGTGATTACATCTGAAAAACAGTATCTGAGCCCATTGGTACAGGAGAAGCTGATGGACTTCACCTTTGCTTTTAAAAGTTACAGGAAAGCTTGTCATGTGGATTTGTATTTAGGGTTTGTATTTAGGGCTGAGATATATGAGGGATGAGTGGATAAAAGGTTAGGCTTTCCTTTGGGCTTAAGACATCAGTCTGATGTATTAGGATTCTGTTTACTTGTGGTTTATGCTGTAAAAGTAGGTCTGCTGTTACATTGCTGGAAGCTTTAACATCCTGGCTTTTCCTGCTTTTCAGATGCAGCAGCAACAGCAGCAGCAGCAGCTGCAGCGGATTGCTCAAATGCAGCAGCTGCAGGCAGCACAGGTCATGCAGGCACAGCAGCAGCAACAGCAGCAGCAGCAACAGCAGCAGCAGATACCACAACAACAGATACAGCAGCAGCCACCTCAGCAAGTCATGCAACAGCAGATGCAACAGATGCAGCAGCAGCAACAGCAGCAACAGCAGCAGCAGCAACAACAGCAGCAACAGGTTGCTCAGGCACAACAGTCTCAGCTTCCACCACAGTCCCAGCCTCAGCCCCAGCCCATGGTGTCTCAGCCTCAGGCAATCTCAGGACAAATTCCCAGCCAGGTTATGCCTGTCACTCTCACACCACAGCAGTTAAAAGCTATGCAGGTAAGGGCTAGTGACCAGCTGATTGTTGATTTGTTATGTTCATCTAGAGAAAGAAAACATATATTTGACTTTTGCTAATAGTGAAGTAGGGCAACCATAACTTGTTAAGAGCTCTACAGTTAGCAAGTTATGAGTACAGGATGTTTAAAGGTTTGTATCTGGGCCTGCCAGTAGAGAACAGTTTTGTACCTAAGAGTTCTTGAAATCTGTGAAAACCATTCATGCAGGTAATACTTAAAAAATAATTTTTTGTCTCACTCTTGAATGGGCAAGTGAAAAAAAGGAAAAGAAACTCTGGTTAAAGAAAACTGGAAATCTGAAAACCATTCATGCAGCTAATATTTAAAAAATAATTTTTTGTCTCACTCCTGAATGGGCAAGTGAAAAAAAGGAAAAGAAACTCTGGTTAAAGAAAAATTACCTCCATGCAGTTTGCTTTTCTAGAACATGAGCAAGTACTGTGAAGTGTTCTAGACTGCAGCCAGTGTTAGCTCTCTACCATGCTGGCTTTGCTTCTGCTGCCATGTTGGGAGGTTTTGGAGTTTACTGTGCTGGTTGTTCCTGCCTTGAAGAGAAGGTGGGCAAGCCAATAGTTCTACTCTGTTGAATCTTGCTGGGTCATCCTCTTAATGGTGCAGCTTTTTGAAGTGCTAGTCATTTTTATCTGGGCTGCATAGGTTACTGTTGAGCCAAAGCTCAGACCTGTTTTTCTTTGGGCCTTAGTGGGGAGGAGTGTCAGCCACACTTCAGAAGTGGATAAGTTGATATCTCCACTTTGTGCTCCTATCAGCTGAGCTAGGAGTAGTTAAATGTCACACTGACAGATGTAATGAATTTATAAACGTTTGAAATGCTGGTCATTGGTAGGCTTGCCAAAAACTTAAGTGCCTATTATTTTTATATGTAATACCTGACAGTAGAGGTAAGATGTGCAAGAAGTTGTTGAATTGGGTGTGCAGTCTGTGGGAAAAGTATTCTAAATGTTTTAAACATGGGAACTTGTTTTCACAAAAAACCCCAAAAACTTTAGTTTGTGAGGCTGGTCTTGTCTCCATAGCCCTTTTAACGAGCATAGTCAATGCAGTTGAAACAGAAATGTCATACCCTGCTCAGGTATGTATTTTTACTGTGGGTTGTGTTCTCATACCCTAGGTAAGAGCTCAGCTGGTCCAGCAGCAGCAGCAGCAGGCAGCAGCAGCAGCAGTGCAGGCAGCTCAGGCCCAAGCTGCTCAGATGGGAGCTTCAGGGCAGGTAAGGGCCCAGGGGCCAGTGTCCCAGGTCACAGGCCTGTGGCAAGTGCATGCTAGAGATGAGCATGGAGTTGGGTTTCTGGTGGCTCCTGGTGAGGGGTCTGCCATTGGTCAGCCCCTGTATGAAGGGGATATGGTCTTCTCTGCTGTTTCCTGGAGTCAGAGGCAGGATTTCATTGCCAACCTCTCTGTGCATGCTCTCTGTCCCCAATAGGTCCAAGTGTTGCCTGTACTGACACAGGAATGCACATGAATAAGGTGGTCTCCTGTGGGCACACTACAAGTCTGACTGTTGGTACCTGGAGTGTATCACCTCTTCTTTCATTAAACTCTCCTAGGTGACTGCTTTGTTGTGTAAACTGATTTCTGTACTGCAAATCTTTGCCTGCTATCTTTAATCACATGTGATTTACTTTCCATCTTTATGTATTGACTATAAAAAAATAGTATAGATGATGAAATCTCTCTGCACTCCCCTTTCAGTCCTTTCATCTTTCATTCTTCTTCTGAGTGAAATGGGCAGTAGATCTAGATGCTCTTGTTCTGGATGTGAATTGTGAAGAACAAATGGTGTGTGTCACAAGTGCAGAGTTACATTAAAAAAGAAAAGTGCTGGCTGAAAGCTTGTTGTCTAACATGGTTTTTTTTATCCTGCAATACACCTGCAGCCCCAGTGGTTGTTTCTTGATGTGTGTCTGGTATGAAGGAGACATGGGGAAAAAAATGGGGAATGGCTTGAGCTGAACCTCTTATCCCATTTTCCACAAGAATATGAAAGTCTTTTGTGGCTTACCTGTGTTGTGTTTCATATTGAGGCATTTTGCAGACATGGGTAAGTACAAATATCACCACTCTGTAGAGGAAGAGAGAGGCAGACAGATTTGAAATGAGGCTGACTAGGACTAATGGCAGAATTCTTTTTGTATACTCAGACATTCCATGTTTTTCAAGCACCATTTCCCATTTAGTGCACAAGTAATTTTATAGATTCAGTAAGAAGCTTTTTGTGTGGACTGTGATAACAATTGCTTCTCCAATGTGCATCTCCCAGACTTGTATCAGGGATAGTGTCTTGTACCATGGTAACTCTCAGCTGGCCACATCCTTGTTGGTGTGGCCAAGTTCTGTTTCTGAATTGCTCCTTTGGCTTGTGTCAGTGTAACACAGGATGTAAAAGCTGGGCAGTGGTAAGTACAGGTGGGACAGTGCTGGCAGCAATGCAGAATTCTCTTCATGCAGAATTCTCTTCATGCAGTTGAAATGTGAATTAAAACTTGTTTGTTTCTTAAATAATTTCCAGGTGAGAGCTGCAGGGACTTAGACTGACTGGAAGGAGACACTGACTTCTTTTCTTGTTACTAACTTCAGTGGTGCTCTTTTCAACTCTGAAGCAGATGGATTGTGTTTATGTAGAGTCAACTGAATTCTTGCCCCTTTAGTGACTTCATGTGCCAGTGGCTTAACAGCACAGTGCATTTGAAAAGCTTTGGGTGATGACATGGTTGACAGCCAGTTTTGTATTGCAGCTTTATCCAGTCCTGTGTGGGGATTGCTCTTTATCTACCACATGTGGAGTTTGGAATATTCCACACACAGGCTTTACTCCACTAATGTTCATGCCAGTGCAAGATGAGTCTACTAAAATTCACCTACCACTGTGAAGTCCAATAACTAAATGGGTTTCTTGTACTTGTCTAAATAATTTCTGTATATAATAGGTTAAAGATTCTGGCTGTATATAATATTACAATGCAGCTTCAGTGTTGAGAGTGTTTAAGGCTTTCCTTTACTCTATAAGTCTCTTTTAAGACTAGATTTTTGCTTTCTATTTAGTACATTTTTCAGTAGCATCAGCATTTTAAATAAATATGCCTTGACTTCTTTATTTGGTTCAGGGGAGCTTTTTTTAGAAACAAACCCTATCCTAATCTTTCCTTGTTACATTTTAACTTAGTCTTTAAGGGCTTTCAAACTGGGAATTTTGCTTGCTGTGTCTGCATTTTTCCTTTTCCGTAAAGTTTCTGTAAATCCTTCTTACATAAAAGTAAAAGCAGTCCCTTGTTTAAACACGGATGCATGTGAAAAGTTCTTCTCTGAAGTTATAAAGACACCACACAGGTCAGTGTTACCCTGCTCCAGTCCTTGTGAGCACTCAGGGAAGCTCACAGCAGTAATGTCCTAGCACCCAGAGACCTACACAAAATGCTTGCAGCACCGAGGAAAAAGATCTGGAATCAACTGCAGTTAAGTATGAGTAAAGTTAAATATGACTAAAGTTAAGTCACTGTTCTGGTGCAATCCTTCTGGTGCTCAGAATGCAGAGTGGCTGATGCTGACTGAAATCTGAGCTGCCTTTAGTGCAGTGGCACTGTAATACATGTGCTCACCAGAAGCTGTGTATTTATGGACTGCTGAATGTTTGGATGTTAGATAAAAGAAAGCTGCAGGTTCTGGATTCTTTTTGTTCTATCCAATTAGTTTTTATCAAATATTTTTTATCAAATATTGGGATTTGTAGCTTACTTTGGAGGGAGATCCTCTTCTTGCTCTCTGATTTATCTCCATTTACAGGGTCTGGAATTTTACCTTGTAAGAATTCAATTTCACTTGTGGAGGAAGATATTGTTCGGTTAAAATCTTTCTCAAAAGTACTTAAACATTTCTGGTTGTGTTCTTATTTTACAAGAAGAGTAACTTCTTTATGGACATATTGCCTTGGAACCCCCTCCTGACTCCTTTATCAAAGGGTCATGGGTTTTATAAATATAAACGGGCTGGAGAATGGGGGAAAATAGATTGCTTTTGTTAAGAGGGTGGAATTGATGTAATTTTATATATGTATTTCCTTTTCAAAGCACACATTTAAAAAAATACAAAAAACTCTACCCCAAAATTATAAGCTTGTGCACTCATTTGACCAACCACAATACTACAAACAGCTGAAAGCCTTTGAATTGGAGTTTGTCATGCTGGTATTCAGGGGTTTGCCAGACACTTAGCCTGTGAATATTCTTCTAATTTCCTTTGCCTCAGTGGAAGTAATCTAAATCTTCACTTTTTGGTGGTGTGGCTTCAGAAACATGGCCAAGATGGGACATGTGGGTCACCATAACATGCCTGGGATTGCACAGCTCCAGAGATCTGTGTGCATTCACAAGGGTCTGAGATGGGGTGATTGTGCCTGAAAGGATATTCCCCTCCCACCCCAGCAATTTCCCCCTTTTTTTTGGTTTTGTTAGGATTATGTTGCTTCACCAGCTCTCATGTTGGTACTGTAGCTCTTCACTGCACTCCCTGGCATCCCCCTGTGCTCTGTGGCAGCGCTGGGTTGTTGTGTTTGCTCTGCAGCTGCTGCATGCTGTGTGTGCCCGTGTGCATGTGTGTGTGATGTCTGAGGCACTCCCCTCTGTTCCCCTTTTGAAATCCTGTCTCTGACCATCCCTCTTTGCTGGATGGAAAGGGACTGCATTGCTCTGATGTTGTGAACTAACAGCTGTGCTGAATTTGACACTATTTTCTTTATCAGTTATTGCTTTCTTTTTTTCAGTCTTGCTATGTTGTATTTAATTTTATTTATTTTTAACAATTGTAAGCACATGCATTCTTTGACTCTCTAGAGATGTGTTGCTGGCTGCTTCAGTCCATTTACATAAACACCCAGCAGGAGTGCCCCAAACCATTTAAGGAGGGAGACTGCATTATCTCTTAGATTAGTTAGGATTGTGTAGGTAACATGTAAGCCAGGAAAAAAAGGCAGCCCAGAGAGCTTTACTGTAGATCTTTGAAGTCCCAAACAGAAACTCTTTTACTGATAAGTGAATTTGCCAAAGCTACCTGAATACTATCTCAAATATATGCTGTATTTGTTGTAAATTCTCAGTATGTGGGGTAATACCAAATTTTAAGTAGTAGAGGGCTATGCAGATATAAAAAATTAAATCTCTGTGGCTCATGCAGGCTGATGGTTCTGAAAGACTTTTAGACACTGCAGAGCAGCATAGTCCCAATACTATTTTAACATAAAAATTGATTCTAATGCTAACCTTTATCATTTACCCTAAATGATTGTTCTTTAGGGTGTGCTCGCTCTATACAGCTGGAGAATCAAAAAGCTTGAGGAAGATCATGGACTCAGAAAAGTTTAGCACACCTTGGTAGTAGAGGAATAATGAGGGTAATTAAAAAAGTATACTTGAGTTATTGTGTGGGATATAAAAGGAAGGAAATAGATTTTTCAAAGCTGGAAGTCCTTTTAATTGTCTGTGGTGTTGTTATACTGGCATGGGTTAGGCTGGTGTGAAATTTGCTCACTGTGGGGCAGTGCACTGACAGCTCTGTTGAACTGTCTGACAAAATGTCCTGTACCAGGGGGGACATGGCCAATGCTGCTGAGCCCTTGGAGTCCACAGTGGGGAAAGCACATCAGGAACCTATGGCATTATGGAGCTTCCTAGTTGGAGTGCTCCTGACAGCAGTCTTTGAGTACTTATTTCCAAGAATTGTAGAACTTGAGGATGTCAGGAAAAATTTAGGAAAGGCCCTTCATGGAAATGACAGGATAGTTAGCCCTTGACCCAGGAATCTGAGGCTGCCCATGGGCTCTGGCAGATCCCAGGAGTTCATGAGGTGCTCTCTGAAGATGGACAGGAGGAGGATAAAAAGGATTTCCAGGCCAGCAGGTTAGCTTAACCTGTAGAGACAAGCTCACTAACCTTCCCTTCATGCTCCCCCTCCCCAGGCCCTGGAGGCTGCATGTGCTTCTCATCCTGCCAGTGCACTGCATTTCTTGTTTTGCGATTACTTTTGTCTGTTGTCCCTCTGTCCTCAAAGATGATCACCGCACCCATGGCCCGAGGTGGGATGCAAATCAGACCACGGTTCCCGCCTGCCCCCGCGGTGCCGGCTACACCTCCAAGCTCCGTGCCCTTGGGCGGACAGCCAATGCCACAGGTATTTACTGGGTCACAGCGATTGTGTCAGCCACTGCAGAGCTTCACTGCCTGGCTGCTGCCTTTCAGGAGAGGGGGCTGTTCACTTCTGCATCAGACAATGAACTTGCTGCCGTTACTCAGGGTGTTGGTGTGTTCAGGTTATGGATCCTTTTTTCATTTTAAACCGTAGGTTTTCTTGGGATGTCAAATAAAGCATTTTTAAAGTGGGATAGATCTTTATTTTAACATTTAAAACTTTGCCGTGTTCAGAATTGATTCAAGATTCAAATTACAGGTCCACACTCCATGAGTGTGCATTTCTGGGTGTTGCAAGTCAGCACTGCAGGGTACCTGGCTGAGTTGTGCCCAGGACCTTGCTTGGCGTATGTTCATGCTCTGGTACAGGTGCTTGTTGTGTTGTTAGTAAACCTGGCTTGTTCCAGTTTGAGCAGCTCCTTGGCATGGTATCAGGGACCCAGAGAAATTTGAGCTGTTCTTTTCTTTCATGGCTGTGTAGGAGAAACTGCCAGAAGGATTCCACTTGTACCTGCATCAGAGAGGATCCCATGCAGGCAGGCTGGCAGCTCCTATCCAGCTGTTGCTGGAAAATGCATGAGGTCAGAGCACTTCATCTCTTCTCAGGAGTTTGCAAAGGCAGTGACAGTGACCAGAAAGATTGTGCAGTCTTAGGCAAGCACATCTGTTGTCATTTCTGATTGCAGATGGATGGTCATTTCAGTTTAGTACAGTGTGACACAAACCCAGCCATAGCTGTGGACTCAGAGGGCAATTTCCTTTGTGCTTTGGTCAGTGTAGCAGTTAATAATGACTGAGATAATCATCTCCCATTTCAAATATCCACAATATTTGAGGCTTTCTCATGGATATTTCAGTATTAGTTTTGCTTCTATTTAATATTTGACTGATAGCAAGAGACTTCTAGTTCAGACATTCAGTGCCATAGGGTGATCTTTGGGCACTGCCACTGTCACTGAGGAGCTTTGACTTCTGACAGCACATGAGCTGCTCACCAGGGAGTGCTCTCAGTAGCATGCCAGGGAGTGTGAAAGTGATGTAGAAGCTGAGCAAGTGGTCAAAGCAGAAGAAGAAGAGAAATTTTTCATGAGCAATGATTGTAGTGAACATGGCTCTGAAGCAGGTGCTGGGATGAGTGAGTCAATCATGGTTTACTATTGCTGGAAACATGTTTTGAAGGCAGTCTGACCTGCCAGATAGCTGACAGCTCTGGACCAGCATGCATCTCTAGCATTGTCTGCCAAAGCACTTTGTTCAGGTTCTAGGTAGGTTAGAAATTAGAAATGTTGTCTTTTACATCTCTTAATCTTATAAAATGCTAAAGTGCTACTGTCTGCTGGATATAACTTCTGGTCATCAGAGCCCTTGCAGCTGTTCACAATAGGATGAAGGGCAGTAGCAGATATGTGGTTATTGATCACTCATTTAAGAGTGATTGTAGTGTCAAAATCCATTTAGATGTGCTGATAGGTAGTTCAGGGTGTGTTTTGTCTTTAGAAAAGAATCTTGGTGTTGCACTGAAGAATGCTTTTCAACAGAAGGCCCAGATGTGAAATCAATACCTTGAGGCTGTTGGTTTTTACCACATATGACAAAACAGTCTGGCCATTTTCATCACAATGCACACTGGATTCTCCAGTGAGTTTATTTGTTTGGTTGGGGTTTTTTGCTTCTTACAGTCTTTTCAAACAAAACAAAAAATTACTGATATGAGGTTTTATTCCACAATCACCTGGTGTTTTGATTTGCAAGAGTTAGAACTGAGAACCCTTACCAATCTTATCTCCTGAGTGCTGTTCTGTGCCTGAGACTCAGCAAACTGGAGATAGAACTCATAGCTGGGATTATTTAAATAAATATTATTCTTTTTCCAGGACAGTGTGCTCTGAACACTGAACTTTGGCTTAGTGGATGTAAATGCAGACTTTTATCATGAAAGCCCAAGTACCTTTTGGGCTTTAAGAGTTCAGATAATTAGAGTGTGGTGTCATGATCAGGCCACAGTAGAGTCACGGGGCAGATTCATGCTCAGGGGGCTCTAGCAGCTGTCCATGGACATGCTTTTATGTGCAGAAATTCATGTCCCTCAGTGAAAAAATAGGTATTTGGATTTCCTTGTGTCTGCTGAAGATGCAGGGTGTACAAATGATCAGTAACCATGGCCTAACTCTGGAGCTGAATGAATTCAGTGGAGTTAAAGCTCTGGAGGAGGAGGGGTTTTGTCTTTTGGGTTCATAGCTATTTTTGTAGTGTGTTTGGGTTCTTTTCTTTATTTTTAAGCCTTCTTTTTACTCAGAGTCAGCTGCAAAGAGCATTCCCTAGAAATTGAAGTTTCATTAAATTGTTACAATCCTAATCTTTATCCTACAAACAATGTAGAAACCTAAATCTGAAATCATCTTTAGATCTGTTCTGAAATGATGTAGCAAGTGAACTGCTGGCAAAGAAAACCAAGGCAATAAGTTCAGAACTGCACACTTCTGAATGCATGTTTTTGAAAATGTCACAATTTTGCTTACTGTTAGGCACTGGCCTTTGAGGTTCTGCAATGTAGGTGGCAGAGAGCAGTCCTGGAAAGGAGGAAATCTGTTTGCCTGTGCAAGTATTTGGATGAGGAGGGGTAGTGCAAAAAAATTCAATTCTTTCAGTGCTTATGTGCACAGTAAATGCTGTATATCCTTTTCTTCACTTTTCTGCAGCATTTGTAAATTAATGTAAATAATATCCTTGGTGCTGAACTACACACAGAAACTTAAATCTGGCAGAAAACCTAATGAAATCTTTCTCCTTCCTTTCCAAAACACAAGGATTTAAGTGTCCAGAAGTCCTTTTTTGTAACCAACTTGGGACCCTTAACAGGGGCCTGATTTTCAGGAAGTGATGAACCACTCCAAGTGGTGTTAGTCTGACTTGATGAAAAATGGGAGCAGTATCCACATGGGTAAGTTCCAAATCACTTGCTGTCTAATAGCCCATTAAATAGACTTGTGAAGGATCAGGGAATGCTCTTTGCAGTGTCCATGCTAGCTTCCTTCCAAACATGGCGTCTGCAGGAGGCAAACTGTGCTTTTCAACCTCTGAAATGCTTTTCCAGCTGTTGAGGAGAGACATGCTGTTAAAAAATCCCCCTCCTTTGGAGAACAGAAGCCCAGGCTCTGTAGTTGTTGATTATGGAGAAAAGGAAGATGTTGTATCATTTCAGCCTCACTTTGTATCACCTTTGTGGGAGAGGTGGCAAAGGTTGCAAAGGTACTGGAGTTATTGAAGATGGAAAAAAAAATCATAGTATGTCAGGCTGCATTTGGTTTTGAACTGTTCTGTAATGGGTGATAAACTAGTATCTTCAAGATGAGTAGTTCTGCACTGAGCTGGGGATTGTTTGTGCTTTTTGGGGGGGAATATGACCTTTTGCATGGCTGCAATGTGATGGACCAAGCAGAGCAGTTCCTGTTGTAGTCAGTGTGTCCATGCAAAAGCAGACAATGCAGTACTTTTCAGTGTGCTAAATGTCATGTCCTCTGCATACAGTTGGGTTATTTAGATGGATATTTAACAAGAGAGTGAAGGGCAGCACCAATTTGCAGTGCCTGTGATGTGCCTGGGACTTGTGGATTTACTGGAACCTTTGCTTAAAAATGGTTTCAACTGAGGGAAAGAGTTGTTAATTCAAAAATACTAATCAGTGACTTACAGAATGGACACATGGGTTAATAAGCCACAATCTATGGCCTCTGCAGGCTAATTCCATTTATCTTTGTGTGTACTTATTTATAGCCTCAAGTCATAAGAGCTCTCTGCATGTGCCTTAAACAAATGTGATCACTCAATATCTGCATTACCATCCCATGCCTCTGCCACTGCACAGGTTGTCTTGTTTGGTTTTAAGTGATTAAGGGGAAAAATGTATATTAGAATAAATGTGAGAAGCTGCTTAGATTTTAGTGTTCCTCTGGCTCTGGCACTGTAGTGTACAAAATAAACTTAGTTGTTTGGTGCTGTTCTGGAATGCTCTTACTTGCTTTTTTGTCCTTTAGGCACACCTCATCATTCTCCAAAGGTCAGAAAGCTACTTCATTTTTTTTTCCCACCCAGCTGTTAAGTTTGGAGTTTCTGTCTCCACCCAGATTTTCAGAACTCAATATTTAAACAAGATGTTGGTGATTTGGCTTACCTAATTTTTTTCTTCCTTCTTCCTAAAGAAAACCAGTTGAGAAGCTGCAGCTGAGTCTGACAGACCTTTGAAGACTGTAATTAAAATGTCTAAATAATGAGGGGTTTTTCACTCTTAATTATCAAGTGGAAAATGTCTTTTCTTCCTGCTCTTCTTTAGTTCTAATAAAATACAGGTTTTTCACATGGCACTTCCGATATTTTAATTGCAACATGATGGTTTGGGCAGTGAAAAGTAATTATTATGCAGTTAATTGAAGCAATGTGCAGATTTAATGGTCGTTTCTACTGAAGTTGATGAGATTTACTGCCCTGAGAGCTTCAGGAGTGATACAGGTGGGAGTGTCCTTATGGGGGAGAAAGGAAACTAATGCTTTCATTTCTTGTAGGCCTGGGGATACACTTCTCTCCACAGGTAAAGCCTTTTAGTTAGGTTCCCATCTCTGCTCCCTTTTGTTGTTATTGATGGTGTCTTTTCCCACACTGCAGGTCAGCCAGAACAATATCACCATGATGTCATCCCCATCCCCTGTCCAGCAGGCTCAGACTCCCCAGTCCATGCCTCCACCACCACAGCCCCAGCCATCTCCTCAGCCAGGCCAGCCAACTTCTCAGCCAAACTCAAATGTCAGGTGAGCCCCACTGCAACTTCTGAGCACTTCTGGTAATGCCATAAGCGTGAGGGTTTCAGAAATATTCAGTAACCTTACTCTGTTTCCATTGAAGTGAATGAATTTTAATACCAGCTCCACTGGGAGCACAGGTGACTGTGCTGAATTCACTCTGAAAACTCACATTTTACATAAAGAATCCGTGTATGAAATCTCACCAGGGCAGAACTACAAACTGCCATCATGATGCTTAGTAAAATCATATCTGCTTCCAGGCTGATGATCCTTCCTTGTCAGATTCTGGCAGGTTTAATTTTATGCTTGTTTTCCAGCTCTGGCCCTGCTCCATCACCCAGCAGCTTTCTCCCCAGTCCATCTCCACAACCATCACAGAGCCCAGCAGCTGCACGAACACCTCAGAACTTTAGTGTCCCATCCCCAGGTCCTCTGAACACTCCAGGTAAATGATCTGAGAGCTGTACTGCACACCGTGGGTTGGGCTGTGTTTTGGTAACTAATAATTCCTGGGAAACCTGTTATTTTTGGCACAGTGTAAACTTGCAAGAGCTCTACACAGCACCTGGCATTGCAGGCACTGAACACATCACATACACCACATAACACAACAGCCTGGGTTCCCAAATCAAAACCCATTGAAACCTCTTTTCTCATCTTCTAACATCATAGTTCTCTTACTGAACCATGTAATGGGTTTTTCTAACTTCCCCAGTCTTTGAAAAAGAGAATGATATTTAATTTAATGGAGCAAGCTTATAGAGGCATAATGATTCCTTATTCCAGCAGGAAGGAACCCTTAGTGACACTGTGCAGTTGTAAAGGACATAACTACTCCATCCCAGCAGCAGTCCATCCATCCCAGCAGCAGTCCATCCATCCCAGCAGCAGTCCATCCATCCCAGCAGCAGGCTGCTTTGCTCCAGAACACCTTCCCAGGTGTACTCTGGCACTTGGCACTTCCCTCCCAGTCAGAATAAGCAGTTTGTGCTACTATGGATGGAGGTGACATACTGGCTCCTTCTGATACCACTGTTGTGTGCTTTGCAGATAGGAAAGGACCCACTTAACAAAAACTGCTGTGAATTTATTTTGTTTATTTTGTGTTTAAAGCATCAAAGTGAAGGCAAAATAAAGACCTAGAGAATGGGTATATGGAACTTTGAAACTTTGCTGAAAAAAAATATATTAAGTGGGAATTGCTGTTCTGCCCATAGAACATGTTACTTCCACACAAAGACTACAGGGCTGAGCAAGCACTTAAACTATGGAGGGTATCCAGTTGTGGATTTGGATATTTGACACGAACTACACTGAGAGTGCCACATTTCAGATCAAGACTAGTTAAGAATAATGTTCTGCAATGTCTTTTATCACCCTGTGACATGCAGTCTTCCTTTTTGCCAGGAAATCCAAATTCTGTCATGAGTCCAGCCAGTTCTGGTCAGTCAGAGGAGCAACAGTATCTGGAAAAACTCAAACAACTATCAAAATACATTGAGCCACTCCGGAGGATGATCAATAAAATAGATAAAAATGAAGGTGAAGTTTCCTGTGCTTGGCCATGCATTTATCTGTGTCAGCTCTCTTATGTGCTGGAAGAAGCAATACTTTGTCTTTTGTGGTGACTTCCTTTCCAGGGATTAAAAATGTCACAGCTGTTCTTTCTTGCTTCTAACTAAAGACTTTAATGTGAGGAATGGGCAAAACCCTTATCCTTAAATTCTCATCAGTTTTTTTTTTTTTACTTCTGATGGTTTTGAAGCATGTAGAGGTCATGCTTTGGATATACTTAGGATTAGATGAAAGATCTTTAATCCTCACTCCTTTCTTTAGTATTGGCTCATGTTTTCATTTTTGACAGTGTGCTGTACTTCTGTCTGCGAGAATGGAAGCTTTTCTTGTAGTCAGTGTTTGTTTCTCACACTGTTTCAGATAGGAAGAAGGACCTGAGTAAAATGAAGAGTCTCTTGGATATCCTGACTGACCCTTCAAAACGGTAACTCTTCCTGTCAGTTTTCCCAGCTGTTCCAGAATCTGGTGTTAGCCCCCAGCCCTGTTGCCACTGAGGCTGTCTCTGGGGCTCAGACTGCAGAAACACTTCAGCTGAGGTGCCCATTTGCTGGGTGATGTGCATGAAACTTCTCCTCTTCCACAGGTGCCCCCTGAAGACGCTGCAGAAATGTGAAATTGCTCTGGAGAAGCTGAAAAATGATATGGCTGTGGTATGTAATGCTTTGTGCCAGCAGAGATAAGCAACTCATTCCAAAAGGCCTTAAGACTTGGCAGGATCATTTTTACAGTTTTTATTACTCATGGTGTTAAAACTTCAAGTAAGGTTGGACAAAATAAGAAAACAGGAAAAAACGGGCAAGCATTTTGCTTCATGTTAGTCACCTGTGTGTATCTTTTAACTGAATTTCAGTTTCTTGTGCTCTGTGCCAAGACTTGAATAATGCTTTTTTTGGACTGTGGCTAATTTCAGCCTTCCTAAACCAAAACCGAATATGTTTTTTTTTGCTTTACTTCCTCCCTTAATGTTACTATGTACAGTTTTGAGAATCATTTGCATTTTGTGCCTTGGAAGTTTACTGCGACAAAATTTTTCAGACTTGGCAGTAGATATTTCTATTTCTGGTGACAACTAAAGGACAAGGGGCTTCTGTTGTGTTTCAGCCAACTCCACCACCTCCCCCAGTGCCCCCCACCAAGCAGCAGTACTTGTGCCAGCCCCTCCTGGATGCTGTCCTGGCCAACATCCGCTCCCCAGTCTTCAACCATTCCCTGTACCGCACGTTCATGCCGGCCATGACGGCGATCCACGGGCAGCCCATCACGTACGTAGCCGAGTGCTCCTCCTGTCAGGAGAAATGCCTCTGCAGAAATCATTAAAACAACAGAGGGGTTCATGGATGGGGGACCCATTCCTTTTCTTTTTCATGTGTGGAGTATTTAACAAGTCCTCCTGTGGGCTGTGTTGTACACAGGGCCCCCATTGCTTCCCCTCGGAAGCGGAAATTTGAAGAGGATGAAAGACAGACCATCCCCAATGTCCTACAAGGAGAAGTTGCGAGATTAAATCCTAAATTCCTGGTGAACCTGGACCCTTCACACTGCAGTAATAATGGCACAGTTCATCTCATATGCAAGCTAGGTAAGAAGAAAGGGGGAGATGTGCAGTCTGGTTCCTCCTTGGAGTTCACAGGCTAGAAGTCAAGCTCAGTTATGCACTGAAAGCCTCTTGTTTGGGAAGAAATGCTCTGCTCTGATGGAAGTGTGTTTGCCTTTCAGATGACAAGAATCTTCCAAATGTCCCACCTCTTCAGCTCAGTGTTCCAGCAGACTATCCAGATCAGAGCCCTCTGTGGATAAAGAACCCCAGACAGTATGGTATGGCATTTGTTGGGCATGTGTATGTGCCAGTAGTGGGGAAGTGTGAACTTCTTTTATTTTAGTGTTTTAATATGATTTTTGTAACAACTTCCTTTATCTGTTACTTTTTTTTTTCTCCAGCAGCCAATCCCTTTTTGCAGTCAGTGTACAGGTACATGACTTCAAAACTATTGCAGCTCCCAGACAAGCATTCAGTCACAGCTCTCCTGAACACCTGGGCACAGAGCATTCGTCAGGCCTGTCTCTCTGCTGCGTAACAGCTCACCTCCTGCATCATGGAGCCAGGAAGAAACTCTCAACAGCTGGCCTCTTCCACATGCCACTGGAAAACCACAGTGTGGGGAGGTTACTTCAGAAGAAAGAAAAGCCTTCTGTTGTTTTGTTTCTAGGCTGTCAGGGTCAGTAGAGAACCTGATGTTAGACTTAGCTCTCATGCTTTCCATCTTCTGCCTCTGTGGACTTTGCCAGCGTTTTCAGATATACAAAATGTGTATATTGGTTCTCAAGACTGTATTTAGGGTGAGTTTTTATTGTCTTCTTAGAGAAGAAATTATTTGTGGACTTCCATCAGGGAGTCTGGTATAAGAGGGGGTAGGGAAAAATGTCCTAATTTGCTTCAAAATTTGCTCAGTGCCAGTATTTCTTTCACACTGTATGTTTTGTGACCTGATACTGCCCCAGAAATAAATGAGCTGTAACTCAAATGTGCTTGCAAACTTGCCAGTGGATGCAGGAAATCTTTTTGACTGTTGCCCAGAGATGGGATAAATTACATCCTTTTAAGGCATCCCTCAAATATGTGAGGTAAATCTGCATAATTATACTTGGGGGTGGGAATGTGGAACCAAACAGAGCAAAAAAAATTTCATTTTATAAAATCTTTTACAGCTTATTTTAAATGCAACTTTATATAAATGGTTTTTGGTTAGCATGGACCAGGTTTCTCACTCCAACTGACTAAGGTTGATGAGAAAGAAGAGATACTGATGCACACTGACTTCCTCTATAGATTCAGCAAATGTGTTCATAAAGATGGGGGGAACCAACAGTATAAAGGCCAAGTAACACAAATCAGTCCAGCAGGTTGGTAGCTACATTTCTTCTTTTCAGAGTCTTTCTGAGGCACCTGGCTTCCAGTGGGAGTTAATGCAGTGCACTGAAAATATTTCTCTAACTACATCAGTTAGTTTGTTTAAACAAAAAAGGCAAAAAACAACATCTCAGGAGTAGAACTGACAACTAATTCATTGTGCCTTCAACAGTGATGGGCACTCAGGTCAGTCATCAGCTGCCTTAGTGTTGGCACTTTGAATGAAAACATTTACCACAAGTAACTAATTTAATGCGTTTTTCATACTTCCCTGTGTGTCTAAGTTGCTCCTTCTGAAGTTCCTAGTGCAGGAGAATGTCAAATATCAGATGTTCCAATTATATCCTGCCCCCTCTCTCTGTATTGTGCAGCAGACCTTAAAGAGTAGCTGGGCTCTCTTACAGTAGTGTCAAGAAATTGCTGTGACCTCTGTAAATCCATGTGGTGTCATCAGTTTTAGGATGTTTTTAAATGTGGGTACTTAGTAAGCACTGACTGAGGCAGCAGAATGCTGTCAGTATTTTGTACATGAGCTAATGCAGTATCTGTCTGTTTCTACTGTAATAAATTTATTATTATTCCTGTGTTGGATGCTAACATTGTACTGCTCCTCCCCTGTTAGGATACCACGGGATGAGGGTTACTATGTTCTGTGGTAAGTGAAAACTCACAGGCTGTGAAGGTTAGGGGACAAAAATCATAAAAGGCTCTGTGTCTCATGGACCACATCCTTCCTGTCCTCAGTGAACTGGAAGAACTGGTCAAGAGGTCAGTGATGGGATACACCTGTGGCATGACTCAGTTTTATAAATACTCATGGCTCATTCTTCTCCCCTCAAAAAGAAAATCCAAACAATATAATCACTCGAGTGTACAGGAAGAGTTTTATAAAAATAAAATTTACATTGATTATCTCTACAAGGCCACATCAATGTTTATAAAACTTCATTAACTTTAGTATTAAAAAATATTTTAGGAAGAGCTGATATAATTAAAACATTTTAGTCATGGAATCTCGGGCTCATCCTTAAAACATTTATTTCTAGAAGCCAGGAAGAGGAAACTAGTGTTCATGTGGTTTCCATCCTTCGAAGAAAAAAGTCATTATTACAGCATAAAGAAAATATCCAATTAGGATAATGAATGTGCAGCCAACTGGCCCGACATAAAACCAGGATGCAAGGAAGTAGATCATCAGCAAAGAGATCAGAGTCCTGTAGCTGGCCAGAAACCTCAGACTGATCCTGGGTCCCCAGTTCTGGCTCGTTCTGTCCCTCACCACGGGGCTGTACCTGATTTTCTGTATGAGCTGGGGGTTGGTCAGGTGATAGCGACACAGTCTGCCAACAAAATCGTCCCTGGAGCAAAGCACTTCCATCTGATCAGCAAACTGAGGGAAGAGGCATTTAAAAGTTAGTGTCCTCCTGCAAATGCTGTCATAAAGTAACTTTATGATTTTCTTAATACAGAGATCAAACTGCACTGTTAAACAGCAGAACTGTCTTAGCACAGACTTGCCTTGTGTTTTCATACCTAAAAAGAATTTGCTTTTCCTGCTTAGAAGCATTCACTCTGTTACTCCCCTGTTCATCAACCATGAGTCCCTTAATAAATCACATTTGCAATGCTTTGTGTAGGAAAAGCAGAATTACAGGTAGAGAAGCAGGCCTCATACTGCTAGAAAATACCCATCTAGACCACAGTGAAGAGGAGTAAGAACAAAGGAAGTGTCCCACGGGTGCAGTGGGGTAGAAGAGGAATGTGCAGGGGAAGCCCGGGAGGAGGAGGAGGAGGCAGTGCTGTGCTCACCCTCTCGTTGAGCGCCGAGGACACGCGGAACAGGAGCCGCACCAGAGCAGCGCTCTCGTAGCTGCGGATGGGCTGGAGCTCGGTGTCCCCTTGGTACTGCAGCTCAAACCTGCGTAGGCCATTTATGATCTACAAATGGGAAAAGGAACACCTCAGCTTGCAGCTCCCACCTGAAACCTTTTTACTGGCACCTCTCTTAGCCCCAGCTAAGTTGCATTTCTCTTTGTCATAGAAGGAGAGCTTGTTTTTTCAAGAACAGCCCAGGCAGCGATAAGGAATTGTTTTTCTCTCACCTGGTACCTGCCAAGGGGTGTAAGGATGAGGCCGTTCTCGCTTGCAATGCAGTCTGGAAGCTGTTTTTTTCCATTCTCATCTTGAGCTGTCCCACACTTCATCATCATCTGGGTCAGCTGGGCTTCACTCAGCTACACAAGAACAACACAGTTCTAAAGCAGGTGTTTGATCCACCCCCTGCTTAATTTAAACTCATTAGCATTGGAAGTCTTTGACAGCCAGCTCAGATACCAAGAACTGCTTAAGAGCCCCTCAGTTAGACATTAAAATGAGATTAACCTCTCCAGATTTGCTTGTCCAATTCTAGATTAGTGCTCTGGCTTTTATCTCCCTTAGCTCCCAAAGAGTACCAAGAGCTGTCTCCTAGGGCAAGTCGGTACAAGGGAGTGTTGCTGCAGAGAAATTAATCTGTTACTTTTAAGTTTAACAGTTCATCCATAGCTGCAGTTGTATTTTTACAGCTTTACATTTAGAAGATACGGGAGAGTTTTTAAAACTGCCTGTTTGGAAACAAGAGGACAGCCTTGGTATTAGCAGGTTTGGTATAAATTACACAGTCCAAAAGAGTCATCACTTAAGGTTTGATACTTAAAAATTCAGAACACCTACCTCCATCTACACTGAAAATGGGTTTTGAAGCTTGAGAAGATGTTAGAATTTACTAGCAAGGTCTCTGGACAGCTGTGTGACCCCACACAGTACAAGAGACACAGATGTATATTTGACAAATCATGACTCTTGTTCTTGCTGCCAAGTTCTTAGAAAGATGTTACTTACCTTAAAGATCTGGCACAAATATTCCAGTGCCTTCTCCAAGTATTCATCTGTTTTTTTGATGCTGTCCTGCCCAATTTCATCAAGGTCATTGCCTGTGTAGGAACCATTCACATCAGATGGTGTGAACCTAAACCACGAGAAGAAGGACTGGCTGGCCATTGTCTCTGCAGAATGGTCTGATATGGACTTTGCTGTCTGCTGTGCCTGACAAATTAACTGGGCCAGTTTTAACACCTAAAACAGAAAACAAAAATTGTGTGAGACAAAGATAAAGGACTACTAAGCATCAACACAGGGATAAAACTGCCTCGACAGCTGAAAGTGAGAGCAATCCCAGCAAACTCACTCCCTTAGTGCATATGGATTTGTGCTGTTAGCTGGATTTCCAATAGGGCATAGGCAGTTCTGTTGAAGTTTTAAAGAAACCTCAGAGCTGCTTAAGTTCTCCAGCTGCTTTTTTTTCTTTTTCCTGCTGCTTTTGTCTGAACTGCTGGTAGGTACTGATCAGTCAGAAGATCACAGTAAGCATGTTTGAGAAGAAATACCATATATTGCTCCAAGGCAGCAAGCTGCTACATTAACTTATTATTTATCAAAGAGAAGCAGATTTTTTGCAGCTGTGCTGGACTGAGACCCCACAGGGTCCAGAACTCATTGGCAGCAAACTAAACTATTCAGTAATGCAGGGAGTGAAGTTTTCTACTTTTAAGTTCTGATACGGATGCTCAGCACTGAGAAACATCTGTCACAGTAGAAAGGCAGGTGCAAAGGAACTTGTTGCTTACCAAATTCCTGACTTCTGTGCCAAACATCTGTTTATACTGGAAGTCCTGTCCTTCCAGGCTGTAAACATGACTCTTCACCTTAAATGAGGTATCTGTAACAGCTGGAGACCGTGATGACAAAAAACTCCCACCAAGAGTGGGGCTCATAAAAAGTCGGTGTTGACGGTGGGGAATCACAAGTTCTGGCTCCAGGAATAACTGCTCTCCTAGAATTTGAAAAAAGCACTGAAGATGGTTACATAATACTGGTCTTGCTGGAGAAGGTCCAGCTGCCTTAAGGCTGCTGGGCAACTTTATTTAGAGAGAGAGTTCTGAGGGGAAGGAGGCCTTAATTAGCGTTCATTATTTACGTCTCTCTGCCCAGAGCAGAAATGTCAGCGTGCATTTAATGCAGACCATACAATGCAGCACAAGAAAAACTTACAATTGTATTGGGTTCTTTATTCTTTAAAAGAAAAACTGTGAAATGCCATATATGGTGATTGTATGAGAACTACAGACTTACTAAATCAATTGACAAACATTAGTGAAGACAGACTTCTGAATGGTGAAATAGCATGAAAAATGGGAGAGAAGTGCACCTCAGTGCTTCTGAGATGAGATGTGACTATTGTGAAGAAAGATTGAGACAGAACAACACAAGATGTAAAAATATCCTTTTACCTTTTAGGATCATTTCAGCTAGATTGGGCTGAGCAAAGACTTTAGCTACTCGGAACACCATGAGGGCATTTTTTGGACTGACCAAATCTGTCCGAAGAGCTCTGTTCAGAAATCCCACAAACAGCTTGGTATACATGAGCAGGTTCTCTTGAATGAAGGCAGCCCTGTCAAAGTGAGTACAGGATTTGTGAGTACAGCTATTTAAAGAAGTTACTACTACCAAATAAGCCACAAAGGGAATGTTTTATACTGTCTCTGGAAAGATGGTAAATTTACATTGAGACAAAAGAATATTCTCAAAACAAAAACTAGTGTTCTAAGAAATCATTCTCTAGTCTTATACAGAAATGTAACTCAGGTTGGTGCATAGTTCCTGAAATCCTGCTATTTTACTCAGGATCTCCTTGAGGTTTGGCTCAGGTCAGTCCCAGCTGCTCCCCTCCTCACCACTTCTCCGAGACGCTGCGAGGCAAAGGCTCTGTGCTTTGTGGGGGCTTTTCGGGCGCGTACCTCCAGGGCTGCAGGTAACTCAACCACATCTCAAGAACCTAGGCAAAATCCCACATAAACACACTTGAGTGCCAATACTTTTTTGGAAAGGAAGGCAGGAAGGGTTTTTTGTTAATTATTTATTTATTTGTTATATAAAGAATTCTACTGGTCTAGAAAAGAGATGTAAAGACCAAGAAACAGGAAACAGCTGCTAAACAGCAATAACTAATAACTAGTTTTAATAACTAGTTCTGTTGAGTACAGACTAAGTGGAGAAGCAAGTACATACTGCTCTGAAAGAGGCATCCAGAGGCCAGTGGCCAAAACAGTGTTGCAAAAAGATATAAAGCTTCTCCTGGACAAACCGAGGAATCACAACCCTGCAAAAAGATGCAAAGAAGTCATGTGTACAAACTGGCAGCAAATTTTAAAAATTAAACACCCAACCCTACCAACCAACAACCCAACACACTTTCACAAATGCAAAATAGAGAAAGAACTGAGCAAAACTTGTTCTTTTTTAACTGAAACTACTTCAAGCCATTGAATTTCAACTGACATTATTAATTACCAAATACTAAATTAACTTTGACCAGAATCCTCTGGTAGCATTTTCTTTTCTCTACAGACTAGTGCAATAGCTGCAGCTGAAGCTGCCCTCCCTCAGAGAATGTGAGAAACATAATCCATTAGCTCTCATATACTTTTAATAATGTACTTCTGTACTTAGCATCAAAACAGCCGAATTCAACCTCTCAAAGAAAGATGAGATTTTCATGGAGAAAGCTCAGCTTTTCAGTTCTGTACATTTCAGAGACATGCTCATGTACCAACCTTTTAAACTCCTCCAGTGGGCTGGCTGTGTGGGAGTGGGCTGAAGGGGAGAGAGGCTCTGGCTTCAGGCTGTTGCTGAAAGCATGCAGATGTTTCACAAGCAGTCTTACCACCAGCACATGCTCTTCAGTGGGCTTGAATGACTCCTACACTCAAAGGAAAAGAGAGGCACCTAATGAGTGTCATTTGCTAAATGTCCAGGGAATTCAGGAAAATTATATTCTCAGATCAAAATACAGGAAATGCTCTTTTCCTTCTAGGTTCTTCACCATAGTTTGGTGCCACCTAATTTTGGACAGGTTTGCTCCCCAGGACAAGCTGCATCGATCTTCTGCCATCAGTTCACTAAGAAACAGCAGCATATTTGAGTTGTAAGAAAAGTTATCTACAGTACTCTAATGCACTGAATTTTGGGCTAGCTTTAAAGAGCAGAATAACTTGTAGATTTCGACTTACCCTTTTCTGAAAAAAGAATATTCAGCCTTTCATTATGGCTACAAGTTCCTTGCTGCAGAAGCACAGCAGGTCCTTTGCTTATACCCATGGCCGGCTGTACTGAGTTCTCCTTCCTATGCTGGTACTCATCAGCCTTACAGGAGAGAACAATCCTAGACAGTTACAGTAAGAACAGGAACTGTTTTGAGTCCTGTGAGATCCTGTTGGTTCCAACACCCTCAGGGGGAGAACAGCCTGGGTGGGAGCAGCACAGGGAGTGATGGTGAGCCACAGTGATGCTACTAATGAGAAGTGAGTGTGTGACACAGCAGGGAGGTGAACGAGGCAAAGAAGTGCTAGTTCAAAGCACAAACTCCTTTACTGTCATCTGCCCTAAGGGCAGTGAACTAGTATCAATCCACCACTGAAGGCAGACTTTGAAATTTATATTCTGTTTCACAAAAGCTGAGAAGAATAATGTACATGAAATGTAAGTTACAGCTGCAAATATAATGGAAAGTGCTGGAAAGGTGTATTGGATTAGCTGCAAGAAGTTTCCAGTGCTTGAGGCAGGGAGGGTGTGTCTATGTCTGTGTTTATGTCCTTTCTCAGCAACGCCTGAGGCAAAGCAGATGCCTTTTTACACTCTCTAAGATTTTGAATACACTGTGCCATTCACTCCAGGCTCCATGACAGACACAGTCCTGCAGTGCAGCCAGACCTGGGACTCTTCTGAGAGGGTTAAACTTCTACCAGCTCTAATGAAGGCTGGGCTTATTTTTGACAGCTCCAACTTGTATCAGCACATTTTCTACAGTCCTGATAAGTTTATGCAAGAAGGTAGAACTCCAAGAAGTTGTGTGGTCCTTGGAGTGTGGACCAGGATCTCCACAGCAATTAGAGAGGCTGAGTACTCTGCTACAGGTCTTGAAAGGGTGCAGTTTTAAAAATCCCAAGCCCCCACTGAAGGTACCTTTGGAATTTACAAAACCACCCTATTTCAGTACATCATTTTGGGCGATGTTAGCAGTTTCTCCACATAGCAGTTCTTACAATTTCTTCTTAGCCTGGGTCACTACCATTATGATCATCACTGGTTTAAAAACTACTTTTCCCCACAAGTGTTTTTGTTGTCAAACCTTTTCGTACAGAATGGATGTGTGCCATTGTTAATTCTTAATACAGTAATTAAATAAATATAACAGTAAAAAAAGATTTAAAGTAGTATTTTCTGTGTTCCTTTCTAAACAGCACCTTGAGATATCATAGCACTTAATTAAAACAAAAAAAGATTAAAGAGCAGGGAAATGCCATGTAGTGCTAAAGAGCTTTATATACATAAGCTCAGCCCTCCCCATTCCCAAAATGAAGACCCAATGAATAAAGGGCTGAAGTAGGAAAAGAGGAATCAGCAATCTGTTCCAACAGGAATGTTTTCGCATGCACATTTCCTGAACAATCTGCAAATGTACCACTTGTGCTTTTGCAAAAGTGGACAGCCAAATTGACATTGCCACCACAAATTTAGTGTTATCCAATGACATTTCCTTGGCTAAAAACCCCCAGATGTTACCTACCTTAATCTGGGTGACAGCCATGCAAATTCTGATCTTTTCTTCCACGCAAGGTTTGCTTAAATGACTATTGTGTGAGAGGCAGAAATCTGCCATTGGTGGAGACAGCTTTGGTGCCAAAAAACAGCATAGCTGGTAAGTCTTACATTGCAAGAATGCATCTCTAGAAACAGAGTTTCCAATTAGTGCTCATAACATGCTAGTGTTTCACTCTTTTCTCCATGACCTTTACTAATACCTCTCAGTATCTGTTTCACTGAACAATTTGGTGAATTTCAATGCAATGTTCTCCAATTACAAAACCACACCTTGGCAGAAGGAGCTGCTGTACAGCCAGCACCAATACACTTCGCAGATTATATGATGGAACAAGATTCTTAAAAAGGAAACCAAATGAAAAGATGGTAATACTTGGTATGCGTGGAGGGCCTGGTAGCTGGATTGGGCAGGACTACCGTGGTGTTTACTGGAGATACTGAGTCGGTAGTGGAGAACCTCCAGCTGAGACAACAGAAACAAAAAGGAAGGGGGGAGGGAAAAAAGGAGAGAAGAGAGCAAGAGAAAAAAAAAGTGAGAATGAGCCCAAGGAAGAAGGGTGGGGGGAAAAATGAACATCACAAATACAGTCAGGGACAACATATCACAGTAACAACTGCAGCCACAGTATCCTCTTTTTTCTGGTGCTCAGTAGATTGATTCCATAGTATTTCTTATCCTTTGTCAACTTGGAAATACAACTGGGAGCAGGTGTCAAAAAACTGACTGTTCTCTTTGCTGAGCTCAGAGCAAGGACTGGTGGGGGATATGGAGCTTTTGCCAAATAAATTCCCAGTTTCAGAAGTGAACTGAACTGCAGCAACAAGGATTTACACACTGTTTATTAAAAATGAACTAAGAGAGCAATATTCTGCAAGCTTTTTTACATCTATTTTGAAAACTTTGTCATTTCTTCCTGTTCTGCTGCAGAAGCACAGTTTGTATGTGGAAGAAACTCAAATGGGACTTTCCTGGCCTGAGAAATCCAGTGTCTTCTCTCTAGTTAAAGGCCATTTGGAAGGCTGCAGGTCTTGTGAATTTCCTCAAAAGAGGAAATTACTTTTGCTGTGAGGGAAACATCACACATCTAAAAAGGCAAAGACATGCCTAGCACAGTACTATACGCTGATGCAAAAGGCACTTTGCCATAACACTGAAGTCTCTGCAAGCCTCAGCCAGATTCCTTCTTGAAGGAAGAACCTGGAACCTGACCAGTATTTTCTGACTATGACAGTGAAGAGGATACTGTGGCAACAGTGACACACATGTATGAAATTAATGAAAAAACATAAAACAAAAAATGTACACTACACAGACCCCAATGACTGTTGTCAGGCATCTAAACTAACTCTCCAGATCACACCTCTGCTGTCTTTAAACAGCCTCTACCCCATCTCCTCTGCTGACAGTTTGGCAGCTTTTGGTTTCACACCCTTGGAGTGGCAGGATTGTTACTGCAGGCTCCCCAGGAGCTTGGGCAGATTGTCTGCTTCCAAACTGACTCCCCTGCCACAGGAACCTGCAACCCTCTGGATTTTCATGGGTGTTCCACATGCAGTGCTGGGGGCTGAACACCTGGCATTGGAAGGTCAGGAAGCATTACATAAAGTTTTATCAAATGACTTCTTTTAAGTGTTTCTTGTGTTAACAGCAGAAGGGAATAGGAAAAAAGATGCTGCACACTTGGACTCTAGATCATCAGAGAGAGAAAAAACAAACAGACAAAAGAATTGGAAAATAGTTGAATTAAAAGGGAAAACAATGACAGCATAGCAAATAGCATCAACCTCAGGTTCACAGCAGACCCAAGAAAAATTCAAAGCTGTAATGTGTATCTTCTCAAAAGAAATTGTTTACTATTCATTCCCATTCCACTGCCTTCTACTTATAAAAGGAAGTCTGTGATGACATTACCAAGGCTTAGGGAAAAATCTATGACTCTCCTTCTCAGGGAAGTTACTTATCTGAGATCTGTCTTGGCCCATGAAAGCAAACAAATCTGGCTGCTGGACAAAGAGTGAGCAAGTTCTGCAGAACCTCATCCCACCTTCCAAAACAGATATGCAGCCATTTCAAATCACTGATGGCCAAAAGCTCTAGATCCAGCACTGAATGGTGACTAATTACCCTCCCTACCAAACACACAGAAGGCTAAATGCAATCAAGTGATCCTTCATAATTATCAATAATTTTAAGAATAAGGTATAGGGCCATCTTGGGTTTCCAGTCAAGGTCTTTAATGCTTGTGTTAAAACAGAACTTACACTTCTGGATGTTCTACTTCCTCCTCTGAGGAACTACAAGGCAGACTGCTCTCCCTCAGCCCACCCAGTCTACAAAGTTCAGTTTAAGCATCACAGGCTAATGAACATCCTGCTCCCAGCTGATCTGGAACCTTTCCTCAGTCCTGCAGGAGAGATCCTTCATCCAATTTATGTATCTCATGGGGAATTCCAGTCCCCCATTCCACTGTTCCACCCCCCCAAAGAGGAAGACTTCCTATTTTACATGTTCATGATTACTTCCCATCAAAAATGAAACTAAAATACCATCAGGGAGTTATGGCCTCAGGTTGTGGCTCAACACACCTTGTGGAGGATCCTGAAGTGCTGATTTCAGAGAACTGTAAGCTCTACCTAGGCCCTACTCCACCATAACGTGGAGAGTCATTGTCTGCAACTGCTGCTCCCTAGTGCTAGAAGAAAGCATCTGAAATACAGAGGGTGAACAGAGGAGAGAAGTTTAAAGCAATCATCATTTCTGGCCTAAGCACAGCGCTTGATGCACAGAGACTGGACAGACAGACAGACCAAAGGTACTTCAAGCAAAGCCTTTCCATCACAGGTGCACAGCCATGCTGCTGGGAGTCCCAAGTGGAGACTTTGCAACATTAGTGAGTTTGCATTTTGACCTCAACTTTGAGAATAAAAGACAAAACCCATCACATTTCAGCTCTCCAATATTTTTCCCTAGCAAAATATAAATGTGGTTTATTTCATATCCTGTGGAGTGAAGGATTAGAATTTTTCAGTCAACTCCCATATTACACTTCCACACAGGAATAAATCCTGAGTAGCTTTTATTATTTCTCTCCCCTTCTATGAAAGTCCCACTGTGACCCAGAGGGAATTCAGAGGATCAGTATTTTCTCCTTCAAATTCCCTTTACATTTATAATGCCTTCAATCTTAGCCTCCCCAACACTTACTTACTTCTTACATGCAGTAGTTTGTTACTGAACAGGCCACCACAAACTGCTTACAACAGTGTATTATCTGAGCAAGAGCTTGTCAGATAATCCAAATTCTGTAGCTACAGAACTGCTTCTGACACCATTATGGTGAAAAGCATCTTTTGGAACATGAAACAAAAATAGCAGTTTAGAAAGATTTTTTAAAATTTGGATTTAGGCTAAAAATGGTTATGGATGTTAGAAATTACTAATTGGTATTTCAGTAACAGTTGCTATCTCTGCTGGAAATCAATTTTGGTTATTTTTAGCAGTCATGTTGCCCCAGTGGGATTTAACACAATGGTTTTAAAGTGGCATCTTCTCAATCATTAGTACTTTGATTAGTGTATTGATGTTCAGATTGTTGTGACCATCCCACAAACTCATCTTGAACAAAAAAAAGAAACAAAAACCAGAACAAAACTAACACAACTTCTGCAATGAAGGCAAATCTGGATGACACACTTATTCACAACATTCTTTGTAACTGGATTATCAACTCTGGCACACTTATGTAGATACTCTGGTAAATTATTTCGTTCCTTTGGACCAGTATACAAAAATATATTCTGCACAGAACAGGAGATTTACCCCAAGGTAAGAGCTCAACCACCAGGTGATGTTCACAAGTGCAGTACAAACTATTACCTTGACGTGAGGGGACTGCATTTTCTGATACATTTCCAGTGAATAATGATGAAGCCACATTTCAACAAAGATCTGCAAAACAAATATTTTCTCAGCTAGGGAAAGAGAAGTAATCCCACACTGTCAGTCAGAAGATAAGTGTAAGGCAGACCACAGTATATAACTTGAAAACTAAGCTGGTACTAAGTACTAGTAAACAGACAGCACCTCTTCAAGATGTTTCAGGTCACCATGCCAATGGCTGAGATGACAAACTCTTAGCACCTGCCAGGCATCAATTAGTCAGCTCAGCAACATGATACAAACTTGTTTCAGAATAACTGCTAAATCCAGATTTCCTTTTCCTTCCCTGATAATTTGTTCATTATCATCCCTTGATAATGAACAAATCCAACTTGGCTGTGTTTAACATTTGCCTTTGCATAGAGCATAGAATTGGTGTAAGATTTAAAAAAGAAAATCAGATGCAGAAACTTTTCCAGAAAAAAATACTCAAATGCCTGAGATCAGCTGTTAGATCCTTAGTCTAAGAAAAGATGCTATGTGCCTTTCTAAGCTACAACTTAACAGCTACACAGTGCTTTTTGTGGCATAAACAGGAAGCAACAGCTGCACTGCACTGCACACCGGCCTATCTGCCTCTGCTTTAAAAAGAAGAGATCCCTCAGTGAGCAGAAAAAAAATGTTGCAGGGCATTTCCTTCCTTAAATGCCAGGTACCTGAAGCAGTGTTTCTGATCTCCAGATCTCCTGGGAGGCTGGGTCAGCGTTCACAGAGGGCTGGTGGGCGATGTGCCGCTTCAGCAGGCTGGTGTGGTGCATGCCATAGGAGGAGAAGGGCACTGCTGGGGACCTTGGAGGACAAATGCATGCAATTACACAAGTCAGGAGGGCTTGGTGCAGTACAGGGGGATGTAGGGATGCATCACTGCTTTGAATCAGTATTTTATACACTTTAAAACAGTCTTTCAAACTGCATAATTGATTACACATTGCAAACTTCTGCAACTTCCTCTAATTACTAATCACTTCAACTCTAGCTATAACCAAACACTGCAACACTGTTCCTAAGTAATAACTACATACAGATAAAGTGTGGAGGTGTTTTCTACCCGTTTGATTTTGTTCCAACAAGCCATATTTTGCCTGCACTGTCCCCACAATTCCCCCCTAACACTGGAGCCATTACCTGGGAGTAGGGGAAGGGATGGCTCCCCCAGGATTTGAAGAAGGTGGGGGAAGGACACTTCCTTCTGTGGGTAGGAAACACTTGAGGTACGTGTCCACCAGGATGAAATAAGCACTGTTGGAAGGGCTGACATGATGGGTGACAGGTGAGTTCTGTAAGAGACACACAGGATGTACCTGGGGTTAAACACTGCTGCTTTAAGCCAGTGTTGGGGAGGGATGCCAGACCCCCTCAGCATAAAGAAGCCCAGTGGTTAGAAAGGGTGAACGGGCAGCAAAGATCCCTTGGAGCAAAGGAAAATGAGCTGTCAGAGAAGGCTGCTGCAGCAATGACTGTAACCAAGCAGAAGAGAGGTAACCAAATAACCTCAGGGCAGAGGAACCAAATAACCACAGCCCACAGCACCAAGCTGTGGTTCTGACTGTAGAGGAACCCTTACTGGGTACAGGAGGAGAGAAACCATTTGGAATCCACTGCCTGCTCCCTGCTGCCATGAGACTGCTTACTGGTGTATCCAAGATGGGTATTTTGTTTTTTATCCAGTCTTGGATCACCAAGTGAACCAAAGCAATAACAAATTCCAACAGAACAGATGAAACTGCTGTTAATTTAGCCACACAGCATCACAGCCAGCTCTTAAGAGAATTAAGGAGAAAGGCCAGTACTGTTTTAAGGGGAAAAATACAAAAGGTACTTACCTTCTGAGTAATCAAACTGATTGCAAAGTAAAACATGTAATACTCAAATGGATCTGGAAGAACAGAGTTAAGGATCACATAATAAAAACCAGGTACAGTTGTTAGATATTGGGAGATGCTGAACAGACACTACCTTTGTATTTTGTCAGTGCTAAAAGCTCTAGCTTGCTAGAGCTTTTGAGCAAATTCAGCCTTGGCTTCTTGCTCTCCAGCTGGCTGAAACATTGGTAATTGAGGTGTTCTCTGTGTGGCAAAGTGTGTTTGTGCTACTCTTGGTACATCTGACTGCTTCAAACGGAAACCAGCACAGCTACACTGCTTCCAGAAGTACTCTAGCTGCAAAGTGAACGTGCCCTTTTCCCACCATATTGCATAAACTACAAGCAATTACAAAAACAAAAATTGTGAAATACAGGCTCTGCTCAGAAACACTGGGAATTTTGTTGTTGACTTGATGAAGGCCAGAAATTCCTCCAACAAGGGTTTATGAGGACACGTTTATTTTAAATTGTAATCTAAACATTTCTAATCAGCCCAAACTCTTCAGCATGACCATGATTTACCCCACACAGATAAGAAATGTTTAACTGAAACACTCATGATCTCTCAGTTTTAGATATTTTTAAAAATTAGATACTCTTCAATTAAAAGGATACTAAGAGCCAAATTCAAACCTAAACCACCAGAGGAAGGAAACTGGACTTTGTTGTGGTATAAAGAGCATTCTGGTAGAACTTGCTCTTGTATTGAAGCCTTCACAGGGCCCTGAAAGACAGAGTAATGAAATATTAATCTGGGTGCTCAGGATATTGCAAAGTATGTTTTCAGATAGTGAGATTCTGCATTCCAGCATTCTGGGATGATCTCTACATTCAGCTCAGTGACTATATTGCATTGCAGTAGTTCCATGTCCAAATGCAGGGTCTTTAGAGAACTCTCAACTTTCTCTCTGAAAATGAGTATTCATTTTTTTTTTAATTTAAATTCAGTATTTTTTTAAAAAGCCTTTACAGTAACTTTCTCAGTTGGAGTGGGAGCAGCAGGGTATTGGTGTTTGGCTGCTGGTTTTGTCCAGGTAATTGAGCTGTGGACCAGCAATTACTATATATTTAAATGAGGTTTCCTTTTGTCAAAGCCTGTAGGACCATCTGAACCAATTTCTAGATAGCATGTAGACGGTAGCAATAGAAGAAACACAGCAAAACAACTCTGCAGATGAATACTTTTGTTGGAAATGTGACACTTCACATCCAGGAGAGCAGTCAGACTTCAAACACACGGGCACACAGCACAGGCAGGGAAGGCACTGCTCTGTGATAACTTTAGAAAACTACTTTCGATCCTGCAACTTCCAATAACCACACAGCTCTCTGGGGACAGAGTAAGAATCACAGTGCAGCTTTCTTGGCTGAACACACATATCCAGCTGCTGAGAACCACAATCTCCTAGAGATTTTATGGCTGGGAACTCTCCTCCTCCACTCAAGAGCCATTTCAAGCAATGGGTCTGCTCTAAACCTGGAGCACTGAGGCTACACCTTGGCCTACACTGAAATGTAGGTACGAAGTGCATGCAAAGTTCCAACAGCTTCCACAACAACTACATTCCCTTCTTACAAACTATTCAGTTACTCACTGGAAGATATGAGACTGGGAAATCATATCTGTACTCTTCTGCTTGGAGTTTGTAAACCAGCTTCATCATCGGGCCACTGCAAACAAGCATCAGAGAGTGAATCCCATGGTAAATACCCTCTGCTGCCTCACTTCTGTGAACTTAGGTTTGCACAGTGGAAAAAGGCCAAACACTGGTCATTTGTTCACCAATCCATTTCTTAATCTGTGCTGAAAGGAATGAGTTTACCTGGGATCCAGGAAATCCAAGGCCACAGAATATTCATTAGGGTTTGTTCTTCCTTGCAAGCAGCGCAGATTCCAGCCCACGATGATGCCATCCAGGCTGCCAAAAATGCTCTCCACCAGCCACGGGAAGATGCCATGTAGTTCCTTCAGGGCAAACAGAGACAAAGAATTAATGTGCACAATTCCTCACTTGGACAATCTCTACTGCATGTACTAGACCACACAAAGATACATCAGCCATTTATTTATGTCTGTTTCTGGGTTATCACTGGGCAAATCATCCATTCAAAACATTGCACTGTAACATGGCAATCATGGGAGACCTAGCCTGATTGCTGATCCTACTGAAGTTACAACAATGCTCACCAGCATCACTTGCAGTTATTTGCCACATTTTAAAAACAAGTTTTCTTTGTCAACTGAGGCTGAAAGGTATTAATGAAGGGCAGTGAAATGAAACAACCCTTTAATGACTAGAAAAGGTTCTTAATTCTTGGCAACACTGCATTCCCACTGTTTCACTGGAGGCCCCCAAAACCCAGAATCACAGAATCAGTTAGGTTGGAAAAGAGCTGAGATCATCGAGTCCATCCCGTGACCAGACACCACCGAGCCAAGCAGACCACGGCACTGAGTGCCACTCCCTGAACACCTCCACGTGGCCCCACCACCTCCCGGCAGCGCCAGACAGTTTGTCTTGACAAGACAGAGAGGAACGCAGAAAACAGTAATATAAAAAACCAATTCCCCTGCAGCTTGCCAAGCAGCGAGGCTCTGAAGAAGCCGGGGCTGCTCACCTTGGCGGGCAGCTCCTCGATGACGGTCTCCAGGTCGCGGCACCTCTGCGCAAACGGTTTGTTGACACAATCCGCCTTCAGCGTGGCCTGGTACAAAGCACAGGGGAAATCCGATCACGGCTGCGGGGCAGGACAGCACTTACCGCGGCCATGACGGCGAGAATCCCCCCTAGCGCCGCTCCCGGCGCGGCACTCCTCACACCCGAGGGCGGGGGCCGGGACAGCAGCGCCTACCGAGACACCGCTCCGCTGCCGCCCGGCCCGGCCCGGCCCGGCGCATTCCCGCGGGCTCGCCGCGCTGCATTCCCCCAGCAGGAGGAGGCCGTGTCCCCGCACTCACCAGCAGGAAGCTGGGCTGCTGCAGGTGCGGCCCGGCCATGCCGCCGCTCCGCTCCCGTCCCTCGGAGCCCTCAGCGCTGCCCCCGCCCGCCGCCGCTCGCGCCCCGCGCCCGCGCGGCCCTTGCGCGTCACGGCCCGCGCGGATGACGTCACGGCGGCGTTGCCATGGAGACGGCCCCGCGCTGAGGGAGGGCACGGCCCGCGGCCGAGCAGGGCAATATCCCGAGCCGGGAGCGACCCTCAGGGATCAGCGAGTGCACAGGCCACCCCCGCAGTCCCGCCCTGTGTCTGCCTGAGGGCGTTATCCAAACACTCCTTGAACTATGTCAGGTTTGCCCTGGGGAGCCTCTTCCAGTGCTCAGCCACCCTCTGGGTAAGAACCTTTTCCCAACATCCAGCCTAAACCTGCCCTGACTCAGTTTTGTGCCATTTCCTCGAGTTCTGTCCCTGGTCACCAGAGATGAGATCAGTGCCTGCCCCTGCACTGCCCCCCCATGAGGGTGCTGAAGACCGCAATGAGGTTTCCCCTCAGTCTTCTCCAAGGTGAACAAAGGGCCCTCAGCCGCTCCTCGTGAGGCTTCCCCTCCCTTCCCCATCCTCATGTCCCTCATCTGGATGCTCTCTGATAGCTTAATGTCTTTTCTACACTGTGGTGCCCAAAACGGCATACAACATTCATGGTGAGGCTACCCCAGTGCGGGGCAGAGTGGGACAATCCCCTCCCTTGCCTGGCTGGCCATTCTGATGTCCCCCAGGACACGCAGTCCCTCCTGGCTGCCAGGGCAATGGTGACTCACATCCAACTTTCCAGGACCCCCAGGTCCCTTCTGTTATGAATGAAGTTCTATATGTCTAATTAATAACAAAAAAAATTGAATTTAGCAGCAATTTTAATTGAGCAGCAATTTTATATAAATGAATACAATACAAAAATTTGGCAGTGATTAATTAGTATGATTAAGGTTTGTATGAAGCATAAGAAAAACCGACCGGGGAATGGGGAGGGATTCTCACCCTGCCTCACGTACAAAACAAAGGAATCCAAACGAAACTTATATACTGCATGCTAATAGATATTCATCAATATTTTTCCATAAATCTCCTCCTCCTTTCAATTCTTGAAATCCACGTCACTATACTGCGTAGTGCATGCTCCATTTGTTGCTAGGGGGTCTCCTGGCTTTTTGGTGATCTCTTCAGAGGAAGGCTCACTGTCTTCCTCGCTGTCCCCTCAATAACTTTACAGGTTGCACATGCACACTAAGCTTTGTGTTATGTAAGTAAGCATTATGCTTCAAATAAGCCTTATTATTTCATATAAGACCATTACTTTAGACTCCATGTCTGGAATCGTCCCAGCTTTGTGCATCCCAAGGCCGATTCTGCTTTGGGATCTTGCTTATCTCAATACTACATCCTGTATCCTGTTTTTCACATGTAACATCAGCGAAGGGGCCCATTTGCTTTGTAACACTAATCACATATACTTTTCCTTTTTATTTTATAACAATTATTTTCTGAAATATTGATATAGTTACAATTTAGTTAGCACGAATCACATCCATTTATCACACTTCCCACAGCCGCTCCCCAGCCTCTCATTCCCCAGTCCGCACACACAGCCAGGACTGCCCTGTCCTAGGTGCAGGATCTGTGCCTCTTGTTGAATCCCATGGGGTGGGTGATTTACCGAGGTCCCTCTGCAGGGCTCCCTGCCCTCCGGGGAGTGTCCCACAGCCCGTGTCTGGGGCTTTGTTTCACGGCTGTTGTCAGAGATCTGCTGGGCACTCACATAATAACCAAATTAACAGTACATGCTTAAAGATCTATCAACTGTTTTACAACAGTTTTTAACCTATTTTTAACAGTTTTGGTTCGTTAATTTGAGATTGTATTAATGTTGAGATTTCTTGGTTAATGTAATAACGAGTGTGGTGGGTTTGGTGTTGGTTAATTACTAGTGTGCTTATTTTTGTTGCGAGATAGGATTAGGAGAAAGGTAAAGTAAGTTCAAAAGGTATGTGTCTAGCTTTCTAGTAGTTAGAGACTTTGTATCACTTCCCTAAATGTCTCTTGTGTTAAACCATAACAAGGGCAAAGGCTACCTCACTGATAGCACACACCTCCAGACTGCTCAAAAGGACAGGTCTGTCCAAACTATAACGCTCGTGTGTGTGTGCTGTGAAAAACGCCAATCACTTGTTTTTAAAATTTTAATAGTAATAAAATGCTTATAAAAATAGTAATATAATTAGAGTAATAAAAATTTGGACAATTAGGATTTAGGATGAGACAATAAAAACACACGGTCCAGGTACCTCTTTCTGGACAAAATAAGCCCGAAGAAGGACACACGTTAACAGAGGATTAACCCTTAAAAGCTATGGTCCGCTGCATATTCATATATCTCATACATGATGCATAAATTCTATTCAAACACAGGATTCTGTCTGGTCAGTGTCAGCTTTTTTCTCTGAATCCTAACAGCCTCTTCATGGCTGAGCGAGGTGGGAAGAAGTTAGTTTCTTCTGATAAGGGAGCAATAAATTCTCTTTCTCTGAAAGTTTTAGGTGTCCTATGGCTGCTATCTCGGTGCGAGTCCTCTCTTTAAAAAAAGTATCTTACATAGCATAGTTTCTATTTTAACATTATGTTGAAGAAAATTAATACAGCATAACTTTCTAACATACCACTTATTAATTTCATATTTGCGAAAAGTCAATCATAAAGTACGCATTTTTCACATGTGTCCTGTGCTGTGTGTGATGCACACAAGTGTGCGTGTCCTGTGTGTGATTCCTGCCGTGTCCTACACGTCCCATTGCAGACAGAGGCTAGCTGTGAGTGAACGCCGCTCCTCGAGGGGTCTGTCCATCCTCCAGGTGGGGATAACGAGCTGCTTCAGCTCCAGAAAAAGCTGCTGGGGTTTGATGGCAAGGATTCCGCGCTGTGTTTACTTGGCTGTGAAAGTTATATGGGTGGGTGTCAGGGACTAAGGAAACGTAAAGCTGGTGTGTTTTCAGTGGGTGATAGGATCCGAGAAAGATTGCAAGAGGAAATAAAGGATTGGGTGAAAATGTGGAAACACAACACTGGAGGTGCTCATTAGGGAAGGCTCAGTGATGCCTGTTCAAACAGACAGCTGCATGGGAGAAATGTATCCAATCACTTTAAGCACTAATGGGGCCGCTGAGGAGAACTGTGGAACGACAGTTTGGTGTGCTCTGGAGCCTACTGAAATGGATGGTATAAGTTCATTATCCCCCTTACAGAGAGCATTTTCACATGCGTATATCAAGGTTGTAGATGTATTTTTTCCCATTTTGCAGATGCAAAGACCAAAGTCAGAAAAGTCACCTCACCTAGGTTTCCTCCGATATGCCACTTATCTAGGTTTCCTTTTTCCCTTCCTCCCAAATTTTAGCTGCCTTTAAGCCACAGCAACAAGAAAGGCTTTTTTTCTGTTGTTGGTATTTTTTTCCTGGGAGAAGTATCCCTGAGGGAGTTGGAGGTTGAGCTGTTTTCTGCAAGTATGGATTCCGTGGTTTTGGGCTTGTTTTATGTTTTTATCATGCATTGTCAGAGGTTTCTGACAGGCAAAGAAGTGACTAACCAGCCATAACAAGAGCTCTCCTGGGTAGCCTCACATTTTGTCACCTTGGTGTAATCACTAGAGCGTCATTCAAACTGTACAGAGGTAATTAGGTTAATGTACTTGTCATAAAGATGAATAAGGAAATTTGTGCATAGAATATTGAGTTAATGCAACACTCAGTTACCAGAAAATCCATGAAGAAAAGAGAGTCTAAATTCTGCAATGCCAGCTTGCACTGTGATGATGCTCAGGTTAAACATTTGGGACAAGAACCAGACTGTGGTTCTGGTGCTCACAGTGCTGGCTCTGGAGCTCATACAGCCTTTTTTTTCTAAAAGCAGTACTAAAAACCTTTTGAATTAATCCATATGGGGCATCCACTGCACCATCCACAGGCATAGATGGGAAGTTTGGGTTCAGGAGTGTTACATCAAGGCTTTAGGAAGCAACTTTTCCCCTTTAAAATGAAGTGGTGTAGTGAGAGATGCCTCCTTTTATATAGAGCTGATGAACATCAGAGGAGAAACAGGAGCTTTGGGACACTCCAGCTTCTCCTGAAGTCTGACTCAGATGCAGCAAACAAGTCCAAGCTGGGAGCATGTGACTGTAACTGTAACCTGGTTTTGCTGATTAATGAAAGGAAAAGACAAATTAGAAATAATCTAATTTAAAGAAATAGCATAGGCATCTGATAACATAGTCAGACCTTGTTGCTTTTACAGGATTAATTTAGTCTCTTCCTGTAAGTACAGGTTAGAGTGTTCTAACAGTGGAGATCTGTCAAATGTTTTCTTTTGGCTGGAGAATTGTTTGGGTGTTGATATGTCAGGGATGGGTGAAATGATCAGAAAACATCCAGTGTGTTTAGCTGTCATGGGAACAAAATCAGACTACCAGTTAATGAGAAATCATCTGGAACAGGGCCTGGATTCATATAGCTGGGGAGAAAAGGGGAATTTTCAGAACTGTCATTATGTTTCTAACCCAATCAAAGTCACTTCTGTCTCCAAAGCTGTTCAGTTCATGCAGACACCAGCTTTATGCTGTTCCTGACGTGCACAGGCCTGCTAAGTCTGTCAGTCAGAGTTCCACTTGGCTGGAGATGAGACTTCATGTGTAGTCTGAGAAAACATTAACTCACCCAGTGCATGTGATGGCTTCTACTGTGAAGGAAATATTAGCAGCATTGAACCATTGCAGGATGAGGCATCCCCATCTCCACCCAGTTTGAGTGTGTGCAGCTCTTTGGGCATCCATTGTCATTTTTCCTAAAGATTTCTACAAATTTGTTATATTTTTGTCTGGTTTCTGCAGGCAGAGATTGCTTAAGATATTGCATGACAGCATGGTGTCAGGAGTTCCAGCTCCAGCTTGCCTCCCACAGTCTTGAGAGTACCTTAAGAATAGTCTGATTTAATAAGCAGTGTATTTTGTGCCTGTTTATGGGTACTTGGAGTTTTGCAATTTTGGCAGTCCAATTTTGAAGATTTTTCTTCTCCAT